GCCAGCTGAGGAATTTCCAGAGAGTGTGATGCAGCACGCACGTGCACTTGCCCGTGATCCTCGGAAGCTCGCGAATCTCTACAAGATGCGGGACAGCGGGGTGCAGAGAGTCGGGCAGTTAGTCAGAACAGTAGAATTCGTTAGGCGTCAGATGTCCCAGCAGTTGCAATACACGTATTTAAGTGGGCAGTACTTTTTTTCACTGAAGGCGCACAGCACCATAGTAAAGGAGAGAGAAGGAGAGGTGTTGTTGAGTGTAGCCGTCTCGATCGAGCTATTGCAGGGGGACAGCACAGAGCAGCTGATATTGCTATTGCTCGCATCGCTGAGAGCCATGGCAACGGCACCAGCATCTGCCACGGGAGCGGCAGCAGCGAAGGCTGCGCCAGCTGTTGCTACGGGTGCAAACGCAGTGCCAGTACCTCGCCAGCCGACAGGCCCCCCTCCTGGTCCTCCTGGTCCGATTCGCTCAATGGCAGCTCCGTCCCGCAGGAACCATAACCCGAATGACGACCTGGGCAGAGTGCATGCAGCTCAGCAGGCCCATCTCTCGACGGGCCGCATCCTGCGATATCACTACTCTATCATTCTGGGGCAGTGCAGTATGTTGAACAGCCAGCTCAGTTACATCCAGCTCCAGAGGGATAATATCATGAACCCAGTCGTGAATGACACGCACTTGGAGGCAGACCGTGTCAGAGGCGCAACTTAGACAGTCAGATAAGCTACTTGACTGACGAGCTGGAGCGTCTGCATGGAATCATCAGGGTGCTGGATGAATCTGACTACGGAGTGCAGCGTTTCGATTGGGAGATTTCGAGACCGAGCGGGAGCAGTGAGAGGGATGAGGGGCAGTAGTGCCAGCATGTCAGCGTGTCCGCATCCCCTCCCTCCAAGAGCTGCTGCTGCCGCTCGCCTCCCCCCCCTCGCTCCGCCCGTCCCGCGCCGACGACCACGGGCTGCTGCTGTATTTGTACAGCCAGCAGGACAGCCCTGGACGCGGGGGGGTGGGTAGGGTCGGCTACAGTCAGTGATTCTCGAATATTTTTTTTCTTTTTTTTCCTCCCAGGCCTCAAGAGGCCAGAGGTTCAGCAGTGCGGGGTGTGTGGCTCGCTCCAGGAAGGAGTAACCGCACGCCCCCCCGAGTTTTGATGTATAAAATCTGCGACGGGAGCCTCTGCCGAAGCGGCAGCGCTTGCAGCATGAGGCTGCGGCGTTCGCCGTGGGCGGCAGGGGGGGACAGGCAAAGGTCCCATCCTTGTATGCTTCCATATCTTTCCTAGGGGCCCGACGTGCTGCAAGCGGATCGGACACGGCCCCCAACGGCTACACCACCACCACCACCTCATCAGCCTCCTCCTCCCGTGGGGGGGGCGGGCGTGCTTCGATGAGAGGACGTGCCGTGCCGGAGAGCCCAGATCTCTGGAGCGAGTCCAGATCTCTGGCCACTGCGATGGTCCGGAGAGCGGAAAATTGCAGCAGCATGAGCCCAGAGGAGGAAAAGGTGCCCATACCGCTGCCCCTGCCTCGCTTCCCCCTCTCGGAGGCCTCCCTGGGAGGCCCCCCGCTCGCCACCGCTGGGTTCGCCTCGAAACTCTGGTCAGATCGAGCCCCGGGGGAGGTATGGGGAGTGCCGTCGGCCCAGATTAGTGGGTCGACCCTGCCAAACCAAAGGTACCCTTGTGTCCTGTGTCTCGCGACCCGTGGTTCCGACATTCCTGTGACAGTGTGGCCCTCGGAAGGGTATTGTGTCCTCCCGCGTGCCCTGTCCAATCAAGTCCGACTGTAGCGGTTCCCCTAAATATGATCATGAACGCGCGGGTTTTTCGGATCCGCGTTGGGCCCCCCCTTGGCGGCGCCTACGGCGCCGCCCCTGGCGCGCCCCCCGCGCCAGGAAGGGGGTGCCCAGCGCGGATTTAAGAAATCCGCGCTGGTATGCAGTTGTGTGGTTCTTCTATTGATGCTGAGCTACACTGTGCACGCCTCGCTGTTCTAGAGTTTTGCTGTGTTCTTGCTCACTCGAGCATTTGGCACGTGTGCGGAGCTGCTCTGCCAATGCCAAGCCTCCCTGGGGCGTTGCTGCGTTCCCGCTCTGAACGCACACCGCTTGAGGCCGCGGAGTGCTCGAGAGATCCATCCAATCAATGTGCGATACAGTGAGAACGATGCTCGGACGTGACCCGAGTTTTCTCTCCCACATGGGCCGAGTTTTTTGTCGCACTTGGGCAGCACACCGCTTTCCGACGGCACTTTTCCGTCGGTTTCAGCCCTCGGGAATGGATCCGGGACGGAAGCGGGTTCTCAGGCTTTTCACCGCTTTCGATCCCTCTAGGCCCACCCTGGGCCCTGGGAGCTGCAAAAGCCGACAGACACCAGATGAAGAAGAGCTGGTCCCAGGGGACGGCCCTGGAGGGTCCAGGACCCCTTTCTGTCAGGACCCGCTTCCTTCACGCCACAGATCTAGTCCTCCCATATGGGGTTGGAGAAGCTGGGGTCGGAGGATCGCGCAGCATCGCCGATGTGACTGCGGTACGGCTCGATGTGGATGGAGCCCGATGTTCTCCACGCTGGCGTCGCCGATGCCCCGCCGACGTCGCCGACGCGTCGCCGATGCATCGTCGATGATGCATCGGCGATGCGGCGCGATCCTCCGACGCCGGCTGCAGCCGAAGCACGGCCACGATAGAGTTGCGGAAGCCGGTTAATGGAGAGGAAGCATGCTGCCAAGTAACATCCAGATGTCTACGAGACGTTTCAAACATGTTTTTAAACGTGTTTAAAAATGTTTGAAACATGTTTAGAACATGTTGTACACATCTCAAACCCACTTTTAGATAATTGATAGATTGTTGGAGAGTCCATGGTCATGGCATCCGCAACGATAGAGGAAGGGTCAGTGACAGGAGCCCTCCTCGGCGGGGCTCGGGTCCCCCGCTGGGGTGCCCCCGAGGCAGGCACCGCAGAGCGGAGAGCCCAGGGGCGCAGGCAATCTTGGAGGCCCAGCTTCGGCCACGCGCAGATGGGAGGGGATACAGTGCGGACGCACATCAAGAGACCGTATGCTTTTCGTCAGGGTATCCTGGGTTCGCTCCTCGCGCTGCGCGGTGACTTCCCGCAGCCCTCGAAGAAGCTGCTGCGTTCGGGGTGCTCCAGGTTTCCTCTCTGGTGCACCCCGCGCACGGGTTCTCAGGGTTGGGTTCCTTGCGAGGGTTTCCTGCGGCCGCGCCCGCACTGTAGGGGGAGGGGGGGGGGCTTCTTAGAAGCGCCCCCCTCTTCTTTCAGGCGATCGCAGACTTGGATCAAGGGGGCGTGGATTAGCGACGGGTCCCGCTTCCTTGGGGAATCGCGCGGGATTCATCCGCCGAACGAGGCGGCTCTGGCCGCATCTTGGGGAGGGCGCCTCCCCCGATCCATGTCTGCGCGCCCCCGATTCTGAGAAGGCGCGGGCCTTGCCTGTGTACGTGAGGCCAGCGCCTTCGGAGGAGCAGCCTCCTTCTGAGAGGTCTCCCCCCCTCCCCCCCACCCCCCCTTGTGCGCGCCGCCAACATCGGGGGCCCCACCTGGGAGGACTCCCACGGAGGCGCCCCGCGCTGGAGCGGGCATCCTTTGCCGAGGCCCTCGCGGGGGGCGGTGCACCCGGCCGCCGCTGGCGCCTGCTGTACGTGGCGGGCGCGGGGGATGTGAGCAAGGCTGGGGAGCCTTTGGACGGGGGTCAAGGGATACAAATACACATGAACACACACACACACACACACACTGTGGGAACAAACACACACACACACACACACACACACTGTGGGAAAAAACGCACACAAAACACACACACACACACAACACACAGTGTGTGAAAAAAAACAACACACACAGTGTGTGTGTGTGTGTGTTTCCCACAGTGTGTATGCTTTTGTTCCCACAGTGTGTGTGTGTGTGTGTGTGTGTGTGTTTCCCACAGTGTGTATGTTTTTGTTCCCACAGTGTGTGTGTGTGTGTGTGTTTGTGTTTGTGTTTGTGTTTGTGTTTGTGTGTGTGTGTTGTTCCCACGTGTGTGTGTTTTTCCCACACTGTGTGTGTTTTTTTCCCACGGGTCAGCCAGAGCGCCAGATCTTGAAGGATCCAGCAGAGCCAGGGTTGCATTCACCGGGGCTTGCGCGCAGGATCCCGCAGGATTTTGCAGGATTTTGCCAGGACCGACTAACCCGGGTTTGAATTGACCCGGGCCACTGCTTCCCCGAAAGGCGCGGAAGGCTTTGCAGGGGCTCGGCTCCGGTGGCGCGGCTGGCCAGTACGTGGACGGCCTCGTGTCCGCCGTGCAGCGCTTCGACGCCGCGTCGGAGGAGAACGAGAACGGCATATTCGGTCTGCTGGGGCTGGGCCTGGGCAGGCTGATCACGTTTAAGGGGCCTTTCAAGTTTAAGCGCAGTATCTGTGCCTTCCAGTCAGCCACCATGTGCCTTGGCCCACTCGAGGTGCCACTGGAGAGCTCGGAGGGGTTCGGAGACAAGAAGGTCAACCAGTTGCCATTTTTCAACTTTGTCCACGTTGATGGTCTCGTGGCCGCTGCTATCGGCCGCAGCGGAGGCGTGGCTCTATGGGCGCGTACCTCGCCTGAGTTCGAGAGGGATCACATGAAGTTATCTGACACGTGATGCTGGATATGTGAATTTATCACGATGCGTAGCAGGCGCTACGCTGCAAACGTTTTGACGTCAGACCCAGTTGTTTTAAGATTTTTCGATAGGATTGTTGCTTTCTTGGTGACCCGTGTGCATTTCATGTGACTGACGGCGCTGTATATTGAGTGACAAATCGATTGTTTGAAGGATGCAGCGTTACATCTTGTGAGCTGCGACGGAGAAAGGCAAGTAGATATTGGTATCCGTTTTCGTTCGGCGGGCTTGTAGTCTGCCCAGCCATAGTTTGCTGGGGGCGAATGGTTCACTGCTAGACCTGCTATTCCGACTTCCGATGATCGCCTCATTTCTGCTTCTGCCCCCCCTCCCTTCCCTTCTTCCCCCTCCCTCCTTACCCGCCCACCCTTCCATTCCTCCTCCCTGTCGGCCCCGCCACTATCTGTACTACCACACCACTTCTACCACTACGACTTGTATCAGCCCGCTCCCTCTACCTTCACAAATGCCGCTACCAATGCCGCTAGCGTCAGCACTCCAATTCTGGTTGAGTCTATGATTTCCTCTACTATTGCGCTGCTGCCATTGCGAATTTTGGCGTGGTAGCAACTACACCTGCTATCACTGATACCCCTGATCACTTGCAAAACCATTGTGACTGCGACCATGTATACTACCACGTCGCACCCTGACAACGTTCCTGTACGGCCGCTGCTGCTAGCATGGTTGGCGCTTGCTGAGAACTACACAGTTCTGTGCTCGATGCCTGTTTTGTAGCGCTACACGTGTGTTGCAGTCATTGATGCACGGAGTAGGGTTGGATAGACGATTGGTGTTAGTAGGGCCGTTGGGTATGCTTCCGCTTACACCCACGATTACAAATCTTACTCCTTGTTTCTGCGCGTAACAACAAATAAAAATTGGGTGATGTGACGCGGCGCTGGGCAATTGCGTCAGCAGTTGACGCAGTGCGAACTACAAAAAGCTGCCATGCACGATCGCCCTTGTGTGATAGAATTGAGTCGCGTACGCGGCATCATTTTGAGGGCCCATGGGTACTCGTACAGCTGGCGGGACGTGTGCACGCATCAGGCGCAAATCAGAAGCAGCACGAATATGATGCGTTTGCGCGTTAACGCCAAATCCGCACGTCCATTGCGCAACGCTTCATGACGCTGCGATACAAACAAGTGTCGCGTGACCCAGACCAGGCACACGCACGTGGTGGATTTGAATCCCACGCATTACGAGGTCAGGTCATGCACGAGACGTTGACAACAAGGTGCAGCAGTGTGTGGGACTATCGTGATATCAACGTCGACACCGTACCATAAACATGATATGCAAGCGAAGAGAGAGGGGATTGCGCCCTCTGGGGGCGACAAGGGATCCATTGTGAGGCAGTGCGTACAGGAAGCATGGGCAAGGCGTCTAACGAAAGTCCGGGAATCCCCGCACAAGGGTCTATATAGGAGCATTCTCACATTCGCGGCAAACCAGTTGTGCCCCTTCTCGCGCATTTCACGCAGCATTCCACCTTCGGCCACCGTGGCTGTGTGATGTTGTCGCGCCGCAATGTTGTTGCACTGCCGTAGGTTCGCACGGCCGGCCCTCGCGCCGACGGCTGGGCAACCGCCTTTGCACTACAGCGCCCGTAATGAACGCATCCAGTTTGGAAAAGGTAATGCTGTGGGCCCCTTGCTTCCTGGGGTCCTGCGCCAGCGTGATTTTGGGTAGTATTGTTGCAGGCCCACTTGACGAGGACACGGGCAATGCAGGGAGGCTATTCGCCTGAGTCACGATGCAGAATTTGCGATTATTCTCCCAGCTGTTATGGCTACCTGAGTGCTGCGGGAAAGCAGCGATCCTGGTCAGAGGATCGCGCTGTGTAAGCGCACGTCGTTTTTCACACGCACGGGCGAAGCCACGGCTCACCCTGTGCCCCCCGAGCAATTTGTGGCATTTGCACGACGCATGTCGCGTAGTGAACCGATCGAGCTCGACCGTTAATTTAAACGGGGGGGGGCGGACCCGCCTTCATCGGTTTGGTTGCTTTTGTCCATGTTGGCGATTCATGGTGGACCTCGAGGCACCGCGCATCGGCGGCGCAACTGTGACGCCCGGGGCGTGTCTGTGCTGCCATTCATATTGCGCGGTTCGATTGCATGTAGTTTCATGCAGGCACTTTGGGCACCACGCTTCGGGTTGTGTCGCCCAAGTGTTCTGTCCGTGCACAAAAGAAGTTCTTGTGCAGGGTCGATGATAAGACAACACTGGCGCCGAGAGTAAATCGCATAGGTCGCCATCCATGTACGGACGGCGCGATGTGTGACGCATTCCATAACATGGCAGCCTCGCTTCCTTTTGGGATGGCCATGGCCATGACCAGAAAACATTGCACTCGAAGGGCACAGTTGCAGTTTTAGAGCCAAGCGCCATTCGAGCGGCTGTGCTCGCGGTTCCCACCACGTCAACGCAGAGCGCATGGGGCACACGCCTTCGCTTTCAAAAACACTTCGGTTGAAACCGTCTCACTGACGCCTTCCCGCCATTCACGGAGACCCTTTCGTTCCCTCACGAGCACACGCGCCGCAGGTGAAACCTTCCCTCCTTCACACGCCGCCACCTTCACCTCAGTTGAAGGGGTGCGCCGCAGGTCGTCGCGCACGGCGCTGTCCATAACCACCCCTTTTAGAAGGCGGGGCTGCAGTCAGAGGGGCTAGCGACTGCCAGAGCGGCGGTGGCCTCGGCGGCGGCCGCCGATCGGCCCCAGGAGTGGCCTTTCCTTCGCAGGTGCACCGCCATGGCGTCGGCGATCACGGTGGGCTTCGTCGTCGATGGCGAACCCATCCCGTTGCCTGGCAGCATGATATCGAAGACGATGGTGCGCGGGGGGACAGGCCGGTTGCCAGGCCCAGCCCGAATGTCACTGGTCGTGCGCCTTTGCTCCAATTCCATCCAGACCGCAAAAGAACAGATGTTCATCTTATACCTGACCTCCGTGCGGACGCGCAATCCCCACAGCAGTCATTGTATTCCCCAACAACAGGGCTTGCATTCAGGGCGTTCAACGTCGCCTTCTGCAGATAGTTGCTTGGGTGTGCTAGGTTTCCGGCCGGTGCCCCGTTGGTGGGCGCCTGTGGGCGCCTCGTGGGTGTGTCGTGTTTGTGTGTTTGTGTGCGCGTGTGTGTATATATGTGTGCGTGCCGAGGTTTCGCCTGGTGACCGCCCTTGGGCGCCTCGTGCGCTGGGTGGGCGTGCCAAGGTTTCACCTGGTGCCCGCCCGTGGGCGCCTCGTAGGTGCCTCGTGCGGTGGGTGGTGTGCGTGTGTGCGCGCGTGTATGTGTGTGTGTGTGTTCGCGTGTGTTCGCGTGTGTGTGTGTGTGTGTGTGCGTGTGTTCGCGTGTGTTCGCGTGTGTTCGCGTGTGTGTATATATATATATATATGTGTGTTCGCGTATGTTCGCGCGCGCGTGTGTGTGTGTGTGTGTGTGTGTGTGTGAGTGCGGAGATTTCGCCTGGTGCCCGCCCGTGGGCGTTCGTGGGCACCTCGTCGGCGCCGCGTGTGCTGCGTCGGTGTGCATAGTTTTCGCCTGGTGCCCGCTCGTGGGCGTTCGTGGACGCCTCGTGGGCGCCTCGTGCGCTGAGCGGGTGTGCCGAGGTTTCGCCTGGAGGGCGCCTCGTGGGCGCCTCGTGAACGCCTCGTATGCTGAGCATGTGAGCCGAGGTTTTGCCTGGTGCCCGCCCGTAGGCGTTTCGAGCACGCCTCGTGCATTAGGTGGGCGTGCGGAGGTTTCGCATGGTTGCCGCCCGTGGGGCTCGTAGGCGCCTCGTGCGTTGGGCGGGTGTGCTGAAGTATTGCCTTGTGTCCGCCCGTGTGCGCTCTTGTGCGCTCTTTAGGTGTGCCGATGTTTTACCTGGTGCCCGCTCGTGGGCGTTCGTGGGCACCTCGTGTTCTCGGTGGCCGTTTAGATGGCAACACTTGGTTTTTTCCACAGTGCTTGAACCACACACCCCACACCACATAGCTTACAGCACGTAGCTTAAACCGAACAAGTCCCATCAACCAGCTTGCACCACGCATTGCACCGCACAGCCTACACTACACAGTCTACAGCACGTAGCTGACGTGGCATAACTTACACATCATAACTTAACTTAGGCCGCAGAGTTGCGCCAGCCAGCGCCAAGCAGTCAACGCAATCACGGCTGCATTTATTTGGAAAGAGAAAAGCGACTTGCAGATGCGAGGGTGAGATGTTTGCGCGAGGTGCGGTGTGTTACACTTCATCATTGGCGTTAGTAGTTTGCACCGCGCAGCTTGGTCCACATCGTTTGCTTCGCATCGCGTGCACCATGTAGATTGCACCGCACAGCCCACGACCCATACCTTATGCCACATACCTTGCACGTCCATCGCTCCCTCGCCTACTGTGTGGACCCCACGTTGGCAAACAACTTATTACACCGTTTCAAGCACATGCGTACAGTGGCACGCCGTTCAAGTTGCATTGCTAGCGGCTTCTTCCATTATCGTTGTGAGCCGTTCGACTGTTACAGCAATGGTGCAACCCCCTTGCGACAGGCACACTGCATTCCTCTTGCGCCCCTCCGATCTCATAAGTTCATGACGCCCCACGGGCCCGAACCATAATTCTATAGTAGAAGTAGCGGCACCAGTAAAAGCAGGAGAATCGCCAGGCGAAGTTGGATGCGCCCGTGAAGTTCCCACACAAGACACCCGCATAGCATGCACGGGCGGCCTTTGTGCGACACCCCAGCTGGAACAGCGATGGCTGGATGCAGTGGTAATCGCATTGATGGTCGTAGCGGCGGAAGCGCCAGCCAGAGCACGACCCGTCCAAGAAACGCCCACGGCCGCCCATTTGGCGACAGTTTCGCAAACCAATCGGATATTTCGGCAATCAAGGCATAGCCCCTCAGGACAAGCACTGTTAAGGGACCATGCAAACGTCACGGTCACAGTAGCACACATATGCAGCATGCATATCGAGCACGTACATGCGTCACACACAGAGCGCCTTCGTAGTTTCTCACATGAGCATGAGGCATAACAGCCACGCATACCCGGCACATATCCTTAGTATAGGCAACACAAGTCGAAATTCCGCCCTGACACAACGAACGCGCGTATCCATGTTATAATGTTCATGCGTGCCGAAGAAACATCAAGCGTTCCCAGTTCTTACACGCAAGACAAGCATCAAACGCATCCATGCGCACCACGCGTGAGCTAAATGCACTGAGAACTTCCGTAATGCATAGGCGCAGCAGCCCGCTCGAAAATCGGTGAGGAAGTGGGCGAGGACGGAGCAGGACGAAAGTTAGCTTGCTGAGGAGGGCCTGGGGACGGAGGCGCACCACCTCATTGTCCTGTCTCTGCGTGCCAGCTGTCCTCAACATCTGATGCCCCTTGCCACCTCCATGCACATATTGACGCTGTGCATGCCGAGGGGGCCGTGCGTACATCTCAGGAGCACCGCCCCGTGATCTGTGGGGGGAGACCAGGAGAGAAAAGGAGCAGCCGTGGCCAAATTTGGCGACCCCTTGGGATGTCCCAGGTGGGAAGCTGAAGGAGTCCCTGGAGATGACGATTGTGGTGGCCATTGGCGGAGGTGAGTTGTTGGAGGAGCTGCGCACCGCGAAGGAGATCCAGATTTCCCTGCTTCTCCACCTGTTCCTCCTCCCTTCCCTCCTTGTCCATCGCCCCTCCTAGTTCCTCTCCTTCCCCGCCTTCTCCGTTCTCGCGCGACGTTCCGCTCGTTGCGTGTTTCTCCAGGTTCGCACGGGATTGAATTCGTCCTGCACGGCGCATACGGGACACTGGACCGCGAGATTGATTCGCATCGCGTTGCTGACCCAAAGCGAACCATTGGGAAGGACGAAGGGGGCGGTGAAGTGACAGGGGGCTTTGCCACATGTTCCGACGACGTCAGAGCAAGCACCAGTTGCTCTGAAAAGTCGCGCGTCAGAAGTCCGAGACGAGGCCTGCCATCTGCACTTCTGCTTCCCTCCTTTTCCTGATGCCTCCGAGCGGCCTGCTCGCCGCCTAGCACCGTTGCGGCCACCATCTCAAAGGGCCCCCCTCAGGGAGGATTGGGGCTTCAGCTGTGGAGGACGATCAATTGAGAGGAAGCATGTTGCCAAGTAGTTTCCAGATATCTAAAAGATGTTTCAAACATATTTCAGATATATTAGAAAGAGCGTGTTCTACCGCTGCTGGCGGAAAATCGGGGGGGGGTCCCAACCCGTCCCCCCCCCTGCCTCGAAAACGAAAACCGGGAAGGGGGTCACTATTGGTTCGAACCCCTCTCCCCCCCCCAGTCCAGCATGAAAAGGGGGGGGGGATCACTACCGATTCGAACCCCCCCCCCCTCGAAAACCAGGGGGGTCACTACCGGTTCGAACCCCCCCCCCGCTCTCCCCTCACCGCCGGCAAACGATTCCCGCTCCTCGGGACAGTTGGACAACGGTGGGGATGCTGGGACAGTGGTGGGAACGGTGGGTGTGAGGGCAGTGGTGCGGGGACAGTGGGACAGTGGTGCGGACAGTGATGGGGACGGTGGTGGTGGGGACAGTGGTGAGGGGACAGCGGGACAGTGGTGGGGACAGTGGGACAGTGGTGGAGGAGGTAGTGGTGGGGGCAGTGGAGAAGGCGGTGGTGAGGACAGTGGTGGGACAGTAGTACAGTGGGGAAAGTGGTGGGGACAGTGGGGACATTGGGACAGTGATGGGGACAGTGGGGACGGTGGGACAGCACAGTGGGACAGCGGCGGGGACAGTGGGACAGTGGTGGGGTCCGTGGGGAAAATGGGGAGAGTGGGACCGTGGTGGGACAATGGTGGGGAGTGTTGGGACAGTGAGACACTGGGGGGGGGTACTGGTGGGGACAGCGGGGACAATGGTGGGAACAGTGGGGACAGTGGGACAGTGGTGGGGACGGTGGTGGTGGGGACAGTGGTGTGGGGACTGGGAATGTGGTGGAAACATTGGGACAGTGGAGGGTACAGTGGTGGTGGGGACAGTGGTGAGGGCGGTGGCGAGGACGGCGGTGGGAGAATGGGACAGAGGTACAGTGGGAACAGTGGTGGGGACAGTGAGGACAGTGGTGGGAACAGTGGGACAGCTCAGTGGGACAGCGGCGGGGACAGTGGGACAGTGGGGGCAGTGGGACATTGGCTGGGGCCGTGGAGAAAGTGGGGAGAGTGGAACCGTAGTGGCAACAGTGGTGGGGACAGTGGAGACAGTGCGACAGTGGTGGGGGCACTGGTGGGGACAGTGGGGACTGGTGGGAACAATGGGGACAGTGGTGGTGAGGACAGTGGTGCTGGGGACAGCAGTGGGGGATGTGGTGCGGACGGTGGAAGGGACCCAGGAGTCGTTTGCTGGCGGTGAGCGTGGTGGGGGGGGGGTATATAGGGGTTCGAACCTGTAGTGACCTCCCCCCGGTTTTCGGGAGGGGAGGGGGGGGTTCGAACTGGAAGTGACCCCATTGGTTTTCAGGAGGGTGGGGGGTATCGAACCGGTAGTGACCCCCCCTCGGTTTTTTGGCGGGGGGGGGGGCGGGGGGTTCGAACCAATATATGTGACCCCCCCCGGTTTTGTGGGGGGGGGGTCGAACCCGGTTTTTTGCCCGAGAGGGGGGAGGGGTTCGAACCGGTAGACCCCCCTCTGGTTTCTGCAGGAGGGGGAGGGGGAGGGGTTGGAACCGCTACGTAGTGACTCCCCCCGGTTTTCCGGAGGGTGGGGGAGTTCGAACCGGTAGTGACCCGGGGGGGGGTAGGGGAGGGGGGTGTGTTTTGCCGGGGGGAAGGCGGGAAGGGGGAGGTTCCAGCAGGGGGGGGGGATTTTCGGACGGGGGGGGGGACCCCCGGGTTCCGGAGGAAGAGTGGGGGCAATTTTCCATAGTAAAGCGGCGGCGGATCACATTCTCTCGTATGTTACAGACACGTTTGCAACATTTTTAGAACATGATCTACACATGTTAAACACATTTTTAGTTCAATGATAGGATATTGTTAGAGTGTCCACTGTCATGGCATCCACGAGGCTTCAGGGAGGCAGAGGGGGCCATTCGGCTAAAAAGGAGCGCACGCGCTGCGCACGGTGAACTGCGCTTCTGCCACTCCGCTCCGCCGCGCGCCCAGGAGGAGGAGGAGGAGGAGGAGGAGGAAGAGGAGGAGAGAGGAGGCGGAGGAGGAGGAGGAGGAGGAGGAGGAGGAGGAGGAGAGGAGGAGGGGAGGAGGAGGAGGAGGAGGAGAGAGGAGGAGAGGGAGGATAGAGAGAGAGAGGAGGAGGAGAGAAAGAGAGAGAGAAAGAAAAAAAAAGAGGAGGAGGGGAGGGGAGGAGGAGGAGAAGGAGGAGGAGAAGGCGGAGGAGGGAGGGAGGAGGAGGAGGAGGAGGAGGAGGAGGAGATGGAGGAGGAGGATGGAGGAGGAGGAGGAGGCGGAGGAGGAGGAGGAGGAGGAGGAGGAGGAGGAGGAGGAGAGGAGGAGGAGGAGGAGGAGGAGGGGAGGAGGAGGAGGAGGAGAGAGGAGGGGGGATGGCAAGATGCTGGAGGCCTCCTCAGGAGGCTCGACAGGCCTCCGGCCTTCCAAGACACGTTCTCTAAGTTTTCTCCGAAGCCGGAGGCTCGGGGAACAACCAATGACATGAGCAGAGCAACGAACAAGATTGGTATGGCTTTGTTATCACCCTTGTTTTCAATCACGCTTGCTGTTTTATCACACTTGTTGTTTAATCACACTTTTTTTGCATCACACTTTTTTATCACACCTGTTCGGGAGGCCTGCGCGGAGTTCTCTGAGCGACGTTGGACCCCCCTCCCTGGCGCTCGGAGCGCGCCAGCCAGCAGCGGCGCCAGGGGGCGCCGCAAGGGGGCCCCAGAGCCGATCCAAGGAATCTTCTGGGCGGATTGTCTGTTCCCCAGGGAGGGCTTCTCCTAAGGCCGAAGGGCTGCTGCGAGGCCCCGCCGCCTGCTGAGAAGGCCTGCCCCCTCTCGCTTTCTCCCGCGGGTGTCGCCGGAGCACTTCTCCGACCCACAGCCCTCGGGCGGCTGTTAATGTGGGGGGGGAGTCAGGGCCCCAGAGTGGCCCTTTTGGGCCCCCTCTTGGGCCCCTGCGGGCTCCAAAGGGGGCCCTAAAGAGCCCCCACTGCCACCCGCCCGAGCATGGACGCCCTCTGCGGGCGACCCGCGCCCCTGGCGACGCGGCCCTCGCGGGCGCGCCGCCGGGCGCGGGCTCGAGGTGGCGCAGCGGGGGAACAAGGCGATACTGGTTTCGGATTCTCGCCGTGGGGGAAGCGGCGCCTGAGGGAAGCGGGTTTGGGGCTTGTCGCCGTTGTCGGGCTCGCGGGGCCCTCCACGGGCCCCACGACGATCAGAGGAAAACTACTCAGGAGGAAGACTTCGTCCGGGGGGAAGGCCCCATGGGTCCCAGGGGAAGGCCCCATGCAGAGATACCACCCACCCGACAGCCTGTTGGAGTCGAGGCCGAGCAGGGCACGCAGGGCGCGCCGCCGCCCGCGCCCGCGCGCCGCCGCCCACCGTGGCCCCCGCCTCTGCGAGGCGGCGCGCACGCCTCCGGCGATGGGCGGGGGCGGCCGCAGAGGCGGCCACAGGCGGTGGGCCAATGCTCCACCACCACCATACCACAGGCAGGGCGGGGGAGAGGGGAGGATGGGGAGGTGCTCCTCCTCCTCCTCCTCCTCCTCCTCCTCCTCCTTCTCCTCCTGCCTCCTCCTCCTCCTCCTCCTCCTCCTCCTCCTCCTCCTCCTCCTCCTCCTCCTCCTCCTCCTCCTCCTCCTCCTCTCTCTCTCGCAGCGCCGTCGGGCGTGCCCTTGCGCGCTCGCGCGCCCGCGGCTGGCTGGCGGGGCGGGCGGCCGGCCCGGTCGCGAGTTCGGGTCCCCCCGAGACGCCACTCGGGGACCTTGTTCCGCAGGGCGGGGGGGGGGGGAGGAGGGAGGAGGAGGAGGAGGAGGAGGAGGAGGGAGGAGGAGGAGGAGGAAGGAGGAGGAGGACACAACGTGACAAGATGAAAAAAGACGGGGAAAGAGGAAGGGGAAGACGGGATCGGCCGATCCATTCGAAACATGTTTCTTTGTCTCCTCCTCTCTTCCTCCTGATCCTTCTCCTCTTCCTTTCTTCTCCTCCCCTTTCTCCTCCTCCTCCTTCTCCTCCCCTCCTCTTCTCCTCCTCCTCCGCTCCTCCTCCTCCCTCCTCCTCCTCCTCCTCTCCTCCTCTCCTCCTCCTCCTCCTCCTCCTCCTCCCTTCCTCCTCCCCCTCCTCCCTCTCCCTCCTCTCTCCCTCCTCCCTCCTCTTCCTTCCTCCTCCTCCTCCTCCTCCTCCTCCCTCCTCCTCCTCCTCCTCCTCCTCCTCCTCCTCCTCCTCCTCCATCGCCCTCTCTATGGTAGCGGTGGTGGAACACTGGCCCATCCACAGGGGCGCGCCGGCGCCGACCGGGCGCACCTGGGCGCCGCGCGGCCAGAGCACGGAGGCGGCCGATGGGGGCACGGAGGCGCTCTGGGACAGGTGAGCGGCGTGGACAAACAGGGTCGTCTGCGCCGGCATTGGCGCGTAAGCTGCCCGCGTAAGGTCGCGCGGCAGCGCCCTCGTCTCCAAAGTGGCGTGACGCGCTGGCGGCCCACGCAAGCCGCCGCTAAGGTCGCCGAGGGGGGCGCGGAGGCGCACTGCAGGGCAGGTGTCGGGCGACGCTGACCCTCCCCCTTAACCTTCCGCCCCTTTTCCGCGAGGTTCTACGTGGGTTCCTTTGAGTTGCGTGAGGTTCCCATGAGTTTTGATGGATTCTGACCTTCCGCGCCCTCTGCGAGGTCGGACGGTATGGGAGGTGGCGGGCCCGGGGGAAATGCGCGCCATGCAGGGATCCTGGCCAGGCCCGCGCTGGGCCCGGGGGATCTGGGTGTACCCCGGCCCCCCCCCTCCCGGGCTATCAGAAGATCACGGCTGCAGGTTTTGTTGATTTTCGGCTTCCATGGGGGCCCTCGCTGGGCCCGGGGACGCTCAAAAGGTGACCCGGGACGACTTACCGGTCCCGGGGAATGGAGTCAGACCGCTTGGGTCCACGCCTTGGACATCAAATCATGACGTCGGGGCTCGGTGTGGAAGGTTTCTCCGAAGGGCTTAGGCGACCCGTCCTCCTCGTCACTCCTCCTCCTCCTCCTCCTCCTCCTCCTCCTCCTCCTCCTCCTCCTCCTCCCCTCCTCCTCCTCCTCCTCCTCCTCCTCCTCCTCCTCCTCCTCCTCCTCCTCCTCCTCCTCCTCCTCCCCCCCCTCCCCCTCCTCCTCCTCCTCCTCCTCCTCCTCCTCCTCCTCTTCTTCCTCCTCGGGTCGCCTGCGGCCCCGGGGGAGACCGTCCAGCTCGGTGCACCTCGTGTGCCTCACTGGCCAAGCCATGGGGGCGCCAGCACCGATCCCGGGCCAAGGACGGCCCTTGGCCGAGGTCGGCGCAGGGTGGGCAGTGCTCGCCCCTCGGAGGTGGAGCCCGCAGGGACACGGCGACGAGGGCGGGAAGCAGGGCGCTCGCGCGGAGCGGGGCCAATGGCAGCAGGAGCCCTGGTGGAGTCAGCCTGGCTGGGGGCAGCCTGGCTGGGGGCAGCCCAGCTGGAGCCAGCCCGGCTGGAGCAGCGGCAGCGGCTGGGACGCGGCGTCCTCGTGGTGGCAGGGCCAGGAGGGCTGGGCCGCCCAGGATCAAGCCGGGCATGTCCCTCCACAGGAGGAATGAATTCAGAAAGAGTCAAAAGGTAGTATGGGGACGAGGCTTCGGCTATTTTTGAATACGTTTGCGTGTGTCTCCACTTTTTCAAACATTATCCCGGCAAAGCAACCTAACAGCGATGTGTAGGAGCATATCTGGAAGCATTCCTCTTAAGATTCGGATGAGAATCCACTTGTAGAATTCTGCTGTTCTCGCAGTCGTAGTCGCATTCGCGATGACAGTCGCAGTGGCAACGGCAGTCGCAGTCACAGCCTCAGCCTCAGCCTGCCTCAGCCTCAGCCTCAGCCTGCCTCAGCCTCAGCCTGCCTCAGCCTCAGCCTCAGCCTGCTTCAGCCTCAGCCTCAGTCTGCCTTCAGCCTCGGCCTCAGCCTCAGCCTGCCTCAGCCTCAGCCTGTATCAGCCTCAGCCTCAGCCTCAGCCTGCCTCAGCATCAGCCTGCCTCAGCCTCAGCCTCAGCCTGCCTCAGCCTCAGCCTCAGCCTGCTTCAGCCTCAGCCTCAGTCTGCCTTCAGCCTCGGCCTCAGCCTCAGCCTGCCTCAGCCTCAGCCTGCATCAGCCTCAGCCTCAGCCTCAGCCTGCCTCAGCATCAGCCTGCCTCAGCCTCAGCCTCAGCCTGCCTCAGCCTCAGCCTCAGCCTGCTTCAGCCTCAGCCTCAGTCTGCCTTCAGCCTCGGCCTCAGCCTCAGCCTGCCTCAGCCTCAGCCTGCAGCCTCAGCCTCAGCCTCAGCCTCAGCCTGCCTCAGCCTCAGCCTCAGCCTGCCTCAGCCTCAGCCTCAGCCTGCTTCAGCCTCAGCCTCAGTCTCCTTCAGCCTCGGCCTTCAGCCTCAGCCTGCCTCAGCCTCAGCCTGCCTCAGCCTCAGCCTCAGCCTCAGCCTGCCTCAGCATCAGCCTGCCTCAGCCTCAGCCTCAGCCTGCCTCAGCCTCAGCCTCAGCCTCAGCCTGCTTCAGCCTCAGCCTCAGTCTGCCTTCAGCCTCGGCCTCAGCCTCAGCCTGCATCAGCCCTCAGCCTCAGCCTCAGCCTGCCTCAGCCTCAGCCTGCCTCAGCCTCAGCCTCAGCCTCAGCCTCAGCCTGCTTCAGCCTCAGCCTCAGTCTGCCTCAGCCTCGGCCTCAGCCTCAGCCTCCTCAGCCTCAGCCTGCCTTCAGCCTCAGCCTCAGCCTCATCCTCTCCCTCAGCCTCAGCCTCACCTGGCCTCAGCCTCAGCCTCAGCCTGCTTCATCCTCAGCCTCAGTCCTGCTCAGCCTCAGCCTGCCTCAGCTCAGCCTGCCTCAGCCTCAGCCTGCCTCAGCCTTAGCCTCAGCCTGCCTCAGCCTGCCTCAGCATCAGCCTGCCTCAGCCTCAGCCTCAGCCTCAGCCTCAGCATCAGCCTCAGCCTCAGCCTCAGCCTGCCTCAGCCTCAGCCTCAGCCTCAGCCTCAGCCTCAGCCTGCCTCAGCATCAGCCTCAGCCTCAGCCTGCCTCTGCTCCGCCTCAGCCTGCTTCAGCCTCAGCCTCAGTCTGCCTTCAGCCTCGGCCTCAGCCTCAGCCTGCCTCAGCCTCAGCCTGCCTCAGCCTCAGCCTCAGCCTGCCTCAGCATTCAAAATGTGGCCCGGGAATGGAGTTCTCGGATTTAGAAGAACACGAAGTGGCCTACAATTGGCTCCGGGCATTCAAAATCATGCCCAGGAATGGAGTTCTGGGAAGTCGAGGCGGCCTACAGTTGGCTCCGGGCATCCAAAGTGTTGCCCGGGAATGGAGTTCTGGGAACTCGAAGACCGCGAAGTGGCCTACAGTTGGCTCCGGGCATCAAAATGTAGCCCGGGAATGGAGTTCTGGGAACTCGAAGAGCACGAAGTGGCCTACAGTTGGCTCCGGGCATTCAAAATGTGGCCCGGGAATGGAGTTCTGGGAAGTCGAGGAGCACGAAGTGGCCTACAGTTGGCTCCGGGCATTCAAAATGTGGCCCGGGAATGGAGTTCTGGGAGGTCGAAGAGCACGAAGTGTGTGACTGTTTGCGAAAAACGCATTCGGACACGAGTTCGGACACAGCTCCCCGGGTCCCGCCCCGACCCCCCTGTGGAGTCATCTGCTGCTCTCTTTTGACACCACTAGAAACCTATCAGCAAAAGCTGTTAGGTAATAAAACATTGTAAAATGGAATAAAAGATTGTTTAAGCAAATATAACAGTGTAAGAAAAATAAAAATCCCAAAAGCATCCTGGCAAAGCAACCTAACAGCGATGTGTAGGAGCATATCTGGAAGCATTCCCCTTAAGATTCAGATGAGAATCCAGTTGTAGAATTCTGCTGTTCTCGCAGTCGTAGTCGCATTCGCGATGACAGTCGCAGTGGCAACGGCAGTCGCAGTCACAGCCTCAGCCTCAGCCTGCCTCAGCCTCAGCCTCAGCCTGCCTCAGCCTCAGCCTGCCTCAGCCTCAGCCTCAGCCTGCTTCAGCCTCAGCATCAGTCTGCCTTCAGCCTCGGCCTCAGCCTCAGGCTGCCTCAGCCTCAGCCTGCATCAGCCTCAGCCTCAGACTCAGCCTGCCTCAGCATCAGCCTGCCTCAGCCTCAGCCTCAGCCTGCCTCAGCCTCAGCCTCAGCCTGCTTCAGCCTCAGCCTCAGTCTGCCTTCAGCCTCGGCCTCAGCCTCAGCCTGCCTCACCCTCAGCCTGCCTCAGCCTCAGCATCAGCCTGCCTCAGCATTCAAAATATGGCCCGGGAATGGAGTTCTGGGAACTAGAAGAACACGAAGTGGCCTACAGTTGGCTCCGGGCATTCAAAATCATGCCCAGGAATGGAGTTCTGGGAACTCGAAGAGCACGAAGTGGCCTACAGTTGGCTCCGGGCATTTAAAATCATGCCCAGGAATGGAGTTCTGGGAACTCGAAGAGCACGAAGTGGCCTACAGTTGGCTCCGGGCATTCAAAATGTGGCCCGGGAATGGAGTTCTGGGAACTCGAAGAGCACGAAGTGGCCTACAGTTGGCTCCGGGCATTCAAAATGTGGCCCGGGAATGGAGTTCTGGGAAGTCGAAGAGCACGAAGTGGCCTACAGTTGGCTCCGGGCATTCAGAATGTGGCCCGGGAATGGAGTTCTGGGAGGTCGAAGAGCACGAAGTGTGTGACTGTTTGCGAAAAACGCATTCGGACACGAGTTCGGACACAGCTCCCCGGGTCCCGCCCCGACCCCCCTGTGGAGTCATCTGCTGCTCTCTTTTGACACCACTAGAAACCTAACAGCAAAAGCTGTTAGGTAAAAAAATCCGCAGTCCTCTTGTCGGAGGACATGCCCGACCTAAGCGCAGGAGCAGGTCTCCTCGGCCCCGGAGCCCGAGCAGGGCGGCGGGCTCGCCCAGGGCGCGCCGCACGCGCGGACCGCCCTGAGCCGCGCGGCGGTCGCCTTCGAGCCCGAGGAGCCGCCGGGGCCTGCTGCCGCCACCGCTGCAGGGCCGGCCCAGGAGCACGCTGCCGAGCCTGCGGTTGCCGCAGCGCCAGCGGCGGGCTCGAGAGGGGAGGGGGCGCAGAGCAGGGAGGAGATGAAGCAGGCGCTCTTCGGGAGGCTCGACGCCAACGGAGACGGGCTGCTCCTCTCCCCGGAGCTGTGGCCGTACGCCGTCAAGACAGGCTTCGACGGGAGCGAGGCGGAGTGGGCGGAGGAGTACGCCATGCTGTGCCGCGACATGGGGCGCCACGTTGCAGAAGGGCTTAGCGCCCTGGACTTCTTCAAGATGCTCGACGACGACTCTGCGGAGGGATGCTACTGCGATGACGAGGAGCTTCGCTCATTACTTGTGGAGATTGCTGAGCCCACCGCCGTCCCCGACCATGCTGCAGGTCAGGAAGCGCCCAGGGAGAGCTCGAAAGAGGAGGAGGTCCAGAGCAGGGAGGAGATGAAGCAGACGCTGTTCAGGAGGCTCGACACAAATTCTTGACGCTTTGCGTATCCCCACCAGTCCATCCAGAAACGATGTCCAGGAGAGCTGACGGGAGAAGGGATGAAGAGAGGCGCATAGTGAAACAGCGTGAGCAACAACGGTGAATTGGGAGATCTTTGGCAGCGAATGGTGCGGGTGCTGCTGTTGGTGCTGTTGCTCGTGCTGGTGGTGGTGGTGGTGCTGCTGCTCCGACTTCCGCCCCTCTTTCCCGCCGCCGCTGCCGCCGTCGTCATCGGAGTCTTCGTCTTCGTCGTCGTCGACTCTGCCGTCGCTACTTTCGCCACGAGAGGGGGGGTCAGAGGAGGAGGAGGAGGAGGAGGAGGAGGAATTGGACAAGGAGGAGGAGGAGGAGGAGGAGGAGGAGGAGGAGGAGGGGGAAGAGGATGTGGGGGAGGGAGAGGAGAGGAAAGGCGGAGGAGGAGGAGGAGAAGGAGAAGTAGGCTGAAAAAGTAAAGGGAAAAGAGGAGGAGGAGGCGGACAAGGAGGAGGAGGAGATGGAAAAGGAGGAGGAGCAGGATGAGGAGGACACAAATATGACGAACATAAGAACCTCCGAAGGTGTCTCTTGGGAATTGTTTTGGGGGCCTCTTGGAGCGTCTGGGGGGCATTGTTGATGCATCGGGGATCCTCTTGAGGCCTCCTGGGGGTCCCTTGGGAGCCTATTGGAGGCGTCTTGGGCGCCTCTTTGGGCCGTCTGGGTGCCTTCGGGGGCGCTCTCGGGGCGCTGTTTGGAGCTTTAGGGTCGCTCGTGGGGCCATATTGGAGGGTATCGATCAAAGAAGGGGAGTTCCTTAATTAGCGCTGCCCTTCCAGAACGCCAAACATTTGCCTCCTGAACCCCTCTTGGGGCGCTCTAGGAGCGCTCTTGGGCGCTCTTGGGGCCGTCTTGGGGCTCTCTTAAGCCCCCCTTGGGACCCTCTTGGGCCATCTTGGAGCCATCTTGAGGCATCGGATGGCCATCGGACGCGAAAAGGCGAGAAGCCACAATTCATTGGTTTTCCTTACGTTATTGAGATTTTGGCCTCTTAGAGGCCTCCTTGGAGAGCTAGTTGGCCTCTTGGAGCTGTCTTGGAGCGTTCTTGGGGCCTCTTGGAGCATCTTGAGAGCTATCTTGACGCATCTTGCGCTATCTTGAGCCATCTTGGAGGTCATCTTGGCCTCTGCGAGGCCCTCTTGGAGCCGTCTTGAGCGATCTTGGACGATCCGACCCCTCGCGACCACCCCCGTCCAGGTCCAGGGGAGGGGGTAGGGGGAGGGGTAAACCCCTCCCCGACGGGGAAAAAGGGGATTGGAAGAGGAAACTCCCTAGACCACCTACGCCCAGAGGGCTGGTGGGATTCAGACGGGCTGCTTCTCTCACCTGAGCTGTGGCCGTTCGTCGTCAAGACTGGTTTCGATGGAAGCGAGGCGGAGTGGGAGGAGGAGTACGCCATGCTCTGCCGAGACATGGGGCGCAGCGTTGCAGAAGGGCTTAGCGCATCGGACTTCTTCAAGATGGTCGACGACGACTCTGCACAGGGCTGCTACTGTGAGGACGAGGAGCTGCGCTCGCTGCTCGTTGAGATTCCTGCGCCCGCCGCTGACGAAGATGTAGGTCGGGAAGCACCCAGAGAGAGCTCGAAAGAGGAGGAGGGATTGCAGGGCAGGGACGAGATGAAGCAGAGATTGTTCAGACGGCTTGACACCAACCACGACGGACTGCTTCTGTCCCCTGAGTTGTGGCCCTTCGTCGTCAGGACAGGCTTCGATGGAAGCGAGGCGGAGTGGGAGGAGGAGTACGCCATGCTCTGCCGAGACATGGGGCGCAGCGTTGCAGAAGGGCTTAGCGCATCGGACTTCTTCAAGATGCTCGACGACGACTCTTCGCAGGGCTGCTACTGCGAGGACGAGGAGCTGCGCTCGCTGCTCGTGGAGATTGGTGCAGTGGCCGCGGACGATGCTGCAGGTCAGGAAGCACCCGGGCAGAGCTCGCAGGAGGAGGAGGTCCAGGGCAGGGAGGCGATGAAGCAGACGCTGTTCAGGAGGCTCGACACCAATTCAGACGGGCTGCTCCTCTCACCCGAGCTGTGGCCGTTCGTCGTCAAGACTGGTTTCGATGGAAGCGAGGCGGAGTGGGAGGAGGAGTACGCCATGCTCTGCCGAGACATGGGGCGCAGCGTTGCAGAAGGGCTTAGCGCATCGGACTTCTTCAAAATGGTCGACGACGACTCCGAGCAGGGCTGCTACTGCGAGGACGAGGAGCTGCGCTCGCTGCTCGTGGAGATTCCTGCACCCGCCGCCGACGGCGCTGCAAGCCGACGACCGCGCCCAGCGGCTGTGTCCTCGGTGGCTGCGAGGTCGCCCACGGTGACCTCGGCACCTGCGAGGGCGCCCCCGAGCAAGCCCGCGGAGGCCCCTCTTGAAGAGCAGAGATCGGCACAAAGATGCGCTTCCGGAGGTCCGCGCGGGTCTCTTGGATCGGCGCTGGGCCCGTCTTTGGGGTCCTCTCGGGGTCCTCTTGTTCGTTGTTGTATGCCTCTCGGGGCAGTGCTCGGCCGTCTCAGTGGCCTTCCTGAGCCGTCCTGGAGGCTCTGATGAGCCTGGGGAGCCACAGGTCGGCGTCGCGCTGGCCGGTCTCCCCCTGGCCGCGCCTCTGGTACGGCCCCTGGCTTGCTCCGCGCGCCAGGGAGGGGAGTCCAGCGCAGGGCCCGACCTCAACGGCGTTCTAGCGATCTCGTGGGCCGTCTCCGTTTGGACTTCGTTCTGTTCTGCAGCAGAGGCGGGACGAAGACAAGGGAAAACAAAGGAAAGCGAAGACAAGACGACAAGGGAAAAGCACGAGGGAAAACGAGGGAAAGCACGAGGGAAAACGACGAAAGGTTTTGCAGACAGCGCGAGGGAAAGCGAAGACAAGGCGACAAGGGAAAGCACCGTTGAGGTCGAGCCCTGGTCCAGCGCCGGTCCAGGAGATCCGCGCGGGCCTCCGCGAAATGCTGCTTTTTGTGCCGTTTGTTTTAAGTCGGGCATGTCCCTCTGCAGGAGGGAAGTTCTGAAAGAGTCCCAAAAAAGTCTGGGGACGATTCTTTCACTATTTTCGACTACTGTTGCGTCTGTGTTGATTATTTGTTATACTTTTCGTCCGAAGCCCGCCTGTAGGAGGACATGCCCGACCTAACGTTTGTTGGTGCTTCTCTTTGCAGGGTCCCCAGAGCGCGGAGGCGCCCGACCCGTGGGGCGCGGCTGTCCCAGACCCGTGGGCGGCGCCGGCGGCGAAGGCCGCCGCGAAGGGGCGCAAGGTCGCCAGGAGGCAAACGTCAAGGAAGAGGGCGAAGAAGACGGATCATAATAGCAATATTAATAACAAAAAACAACTACAACAATTGCAAGACGAAGACAAAGACGAAGAAGAAGACGAAGGAGCCGAAGGAGAAGACGGAGAAGACGACGAAGAAGAAGGAGGAGACGAAGGACGAACACGAAGACGACGACGAAGAAGAAAAAGAAAAAGAAACAGAAAAGCGATTGCGCCTGAACATGATTAGCACTTTCGGGGCTTCGCGCGGATTTCTCTGATTTCAGTGCTGGGCCCCCCCCTGGCGACGGCTCGGGCGCCGCCCCTGAACGCTCCGCGCGCCAGGGAGGGAAGGTATCGGCGCAGATCAGAGACTTGCGCTCGCAGCTCCGAAAGTTTATGCTGATGTCACCGCTTCGTCTTCTTAGGTAGGGTCCTGAGGGAAGCGGGTCCTGATTCTTTTCTCGGCCCCAGGACCGGCATAAAGCGATTCGTGATGAAAAGCTCGGGTCAGATCAGGGGTAACGTCAGGGGGGGATAGGCTCAGTGGGGGGGCGCATCGGCCCCACCATCGCCTGTGCATTCATCGCCGCTATTGGCCCGATGCTAGTCCTTTCCCTCCCAGGAACGTGCCGACTTGCTATCGAGGGCCTATCGCTTATCTACGGGCGATGTATCGCCGATTCCTGGTCGACACTTCCCACCCTAAGCCAGTCTCGCCTGATCGCTGCCTTTCAAAAGAGTCGATGATCTTCAGGGCGTGTCTTAGTGCCATGTGTGTGTTTGCGTTTGCCCCTTGCAGTTCCGCCGATGGCACGCAGGCTGTGTCGGCCCGCATTCACACCTCCTGCCTCGTGTCGAAGGGCTTCGACGGACAAGCACACGTCGGCGCGAACATACGCTCTGAGGATCATCGATCTGAGCCAATCTCGCCCAATCGCTGCCCCTCGCAATGGTCGGTGATCCTCGGGACGTGTGTCATCTCAATGTTCGCTTGCGACTTTCGGTCTGCCGATGGCACGCAGGCTGTGTCGGCAAGTTTGTACGCCCCCTGCGTCGTAGCGAAAGGCTTCGATGGACGAGCACACGTCGGCGCGAACATACGCTCTGAGGATTATCGACCTTAGCGGTTCTTGCCCTATCGTTGCCTCTCACCAGGGTCGATGCTCCCAAGGACGTGTCTCAGCCCAATGCGTGTGTGTGTGTGTGTGTGTGTGTGTGTGTGTGTGTGTGTGTGTGTGTGTGTGTGTGTGTGCGTGTGCGTGTGCGTGTGCGTGTGTGTGTGTGTTTGTGTGTGTGTGCGTGTGTGTGTGCGCGTGTTTTCGTGTGTGTGTGTTTCCCCTTTCGGTTCCGCTGATGGCACGCAGGCTGTGTCGGCCCGTACTTCCACCTCCTGCCACGTATCGAAGGGCTTCGTTGGACAAGCACACGTCGGCGCGAACACACGCTCTGAGGATCATCGATCTGAGCCAATCTCGCCCAATCGCTGCCCCTCGCAATGGTCGATGATCCTCAGGAACATGCCATCTCAGTGTTCGTTTGTCCTTTGCAGTTCCGCCGATGGCACGCAGGCTGTGTCGGCAAGTTTGTACGCCCCCTGCGTCGTAGCGAAAGGCTTCGATGGACGAGCACACGTCGGCGCGAACACATGCTCTGAGGATTATCGACCTCAGCGGGTCTCGCCCTATCGATGCCCCTCTCCAGGGTCGATGCTCCTAATGACGTGTTTGTGCCCGATGCATTTGTGTGTGTCTGTGTGTTTGCGTGTGTGTGTGTGTTTGTGTGTGTGTGCGTGTGCGTGTGTGTGTATGTGTGTATGTGCGTGTGTGTGTGCGTGTGTGTGCGTGTGTTTTCGTGTGTGTGTGTGTGTTCCCCTTTCGGTTCCGCTGATGGCACGCAGGCTGTGTCGGCCTGCATTCACACCCCCGCGTCGTATCGAAGGGCTTCGACGGACAAGCACACGTCGGCACGAACACACGCTCTGAGGATCATCGATCTGAGCCGGTCTCGCCCACTCGTTGCCCCTCGAAATGGTCGATGATCTTCAGGACGTGTGTCATCTCAATGTTTGTTAGCCACTTTCGGTTTGCCGATTGCTGTGTCGTCAAGTTTGCACCTTACGTCGTGTCGAAGGGCTTCGATGGACAAGCGCACGTCGGCGCGAACACACGCTCTGAGGATCATCGACCTGAGCGCGTCTCGCCCTATCGATGCCCCTTTCCAGGGTCGATGCTCCTGAGGACGTGTCTCAGCCCAATGCGTGTGTGTGTATGTGTGTGTGTGTTTGCCCCTTTCGGTTCCGCCGATGGCACGCAGGCTGTGTCGGCACGCACTTACACCTCCTGCGTCGTATCGAATGAATTCGATGTACAAGCACACGTCGGCGCGAACACACGCTCTAAGGATCATCGGCCTGAGCGGGTCTGCATCACTGTTGATCCTCACAAGGGTCGATGATCTCCAAGACGTGTATTAGCCCAATATGTGTGTTCGTGCGTATGCGTGTGTGTGTGCGTGTGTGTGTGTTTACCCCTGTCTGTTCCGCCGGTGGCACGCAGGCTGTGTTGGCCAACACTTACAGCTCCCGCGTCGTATCGAAGGGCTTCGATGGACAAGCACACGTCGGCGCGAAAACATGCTCTGAGGATCATCGACCTGAGCGAGTCTCGCCCCATCCATGCCCCTCTAAAGGGTCGATGAACCTTGCAGTGTGTGTGTGTGTGTGTGTGTTTGCGTGTGTGTGTGTGTTTGTTTGTTTGCCCCTTGCAGTTCCGCTCCTGCGTCGTCTCGAAGGTCTCCAGTAGACAAGCACACGTCGGCGCGAACACACACTCTGATAATCATCGACCTGCGCTGGTCATGTTCGATCGTTGCCCCTCACAAGGGTCGATGATCCTCAATGTGTCTGTGCTTTACCCCTTTCGTTTTCGCCGATGGCACGGGGACTGCGTCGGCCCTCGCATACGCCTCCTGCGCCGTATCGACGGACCTCGCAGGACCAGCACACATCGGCGCGATGATGCAACTCCTGGGAGGTCAAATTCTGTGTTCGCCATGGTCCGAAATCCGCCCTTATCCAGCTGAATCCCGATTAATCCGGCTTAATCCCGCTTGATCCCGCTTAATCCGGCTTAATCCTGCTTAGTCCGAGGCCCACTCGGGCGTAACAGCTTCCAAAGGGGGCTTAATCCTCCTGAATCCTTCCGACGAAGACCTCCCAGCAGTTGCCTCCTAACTCTGGGGATCGTCAACCCGAGCCAGTCTCGCCCGACCGCTCCCCCTCACAAAGGGCGAGAAGGGCAAGGGCAAGGGCAAGGACCGGGCCGCCGGCCCCGCGGGGGCGGCACCCCGGCAGCAGGCCCCCGCCGCCCCTCCGCAGGACAACTGGGCCCAGTGGCGCGACTCCGGCAAGCTCGGGCCATCGGGCAGTGCCAAAGGGGGGTCACCATGGGGTCAAGTCGGGGAAGTAGTCAACAACAGTCAAGAAGAATCAAAACATCATACAAAAAATGCCAAAATAGTCCGGGGACGATTTTTCTATCATTTTTGACAATCTTGGGGTATGCTTCGACTATGGCTTATTTGTCGTTCAGAATCCCCCTGTAGGGGGACAGGCCCGACCTAACATAGGGAAACGAACAGTGAAATCCACATAAATAAGCTCGGAGGTCCGCGCGGACTTCTCAGGTCGGCGCTGGGCCCCACGACCTGGCGCGCGGAGCGCGCCAGGGGCGGCGCTGGAGGCGCCGCCAAGGGGGCGCCAGCGCAGATCCGAGAAATCCGCGCGGACCGTCGAGTTTTTATGTTTATGTCACTCTCCGATCCCCCGAAGGGGGTTGCCCGTGGGCGGCGAGCGAGGGACGGCGAGCGAGAGGGAGAGGGCCTCCTCGGCAGGCGGCGGGACCTCTCGGAGGCCTTGCGGCCTTCTCCGAGAAGGCTGCCGTGTCCTCCTCCTCCTCCTCCTCCTCCTCCTCCTCCTCCTCCTCCTCCTCCTCCTCCTCCTCCTCCTCCTCCTCCTCCTCCTCCTCCTCTCGCGGGGAACACTTCCGGGAAGGACAGAGGGCTTCCGAGCCTTCTCAGAAGGCCCGCCCTTTCTCGCTTCCCCACGCGCCCGCCGCCAAGAGGGAGCCGCGCCATCTCCTCCTGCAGAGCGAGGCGCTTCAGGCTAGGAGCAAGGTTCGAGGAGGCTTTCTGGACGTTCAGGGGCGTGCTGGGGCGCTCTGGGGTATTCTTGTTGCGGGGCCCACTCTCTGTCCAGGGGATGGCTGTTCTTGGAGGGAGTGGCGACCCCGCTGGTGGCGACCCCCCTTTCCTCCTCCTCCTCCTCCTCCGCCTCCTCCTCCTCCTCCTCCTCCTTGTCCTCTCCTCCTCCTCTCCCTCCTCCCTCCTTCGCCTCCTCCTCCTCCTCCTCCTTGTCCTCTCCTCCTCCTCCTCCTCCCCCTCCTCCTCCTCCTCCTCCTCCTCCTCCTCCTCCCTTCTCCTCCCTTTTCCTCCCTTCTCATCATCCTCCTCTTCCTCCTCCTCCCTCCTCCTTGCGACGTCTTGATTTCTGTGGGGGCACGGGGTCCCGAACGTCCAGGCCGGGGCCCAGGAAGGGCCTCTGCAGAGGCCGGAAACGTTGAGAAACCTCCCGTGCTGATTCTTCTTCACGGCGCGAACGTGTCGACGACGGCGACGACGACGTCGACGACGACGAGGACGAGGGCGAGGACGAGGGCGATGAAGAGGACGAGGGCGGGAAATGACGAGGGCGATGACGAGGACGAGGACGAGGGCGAGGACGAGGACAAGGACGAGGGCGATGTTCTCCTCCCAGTGCGAAAGTGCGAGCGCTCTGTCACCAAACACGCCTGGCCCGGCATGGGCCCAGGCCGGAGCACGACCCGTCGAAGCCCGCGCTCAACGCCGCCAAGCTGCTGGAGGCCTCGCGCGCGGCCCTCGCGGCGCGCAAGGCTCGGGAGGCCCAGGAGGTCGAGCAGGAGGCCGCGGAGATAGCCGCGGCCGCCCTCGGCGCGGTGGCCGGCGGCGATCCCGACGACGACGGCGAGGAGCTGGGGCTCCGAGGATCAGAGAGACAGTTCTTGAAGAAGAAGAAGAAGAAGAATAAGCAAACTGTTTGGCGCGCCGCGCGGATTTCTCGGATCCGCGCTGGGCCTCCCGGGCGGCGCCTCGGGCGCCGTCCCTGGCGCGCTCCGCGCGCCAGGGAGGGGGGTCCAGCGCGGATCCAAGAAATCCGCGTGGAGCGCCGAACAACTAGGTTTATGTCGTTTGTTGTTGTTCTGCTTTGGCTTCTTCTAAATGATCGTGTTGGGAGGATGGGGTCGGGAGAAATGATCAGGTCATCCGTGTGGTCGAGTATGTTCCCCAATCACAACTTGCCTCTGTAGGGGTCCTAGCGGATTCATATGGTTAGGTTAGGCTCGCCGCCGATTTTCGTGGTACGCCCGGAGGCCGGGGGTGCCCGGGGGTGCCCGGGGGTGCCCGGGTGCCCAGGTGCCCGCGGGTGCCCGGGCGTGCCTGGGGGTGCCTTGGTGCCCGGGTGCTCTGGTGCCCGGGTGCCCGGGCGTGCCCGGGGGTGCCTGGGGGTGCCCGGGGGTGCCCAGGGGTGCCCTATTAGCCCAATAGCCCAATAGCCCTACAACTCTATAGACCTATAGCTCCATAGCCCTATAGCTCAATATTCATAAGGTTAGGTTAGGTTTGCCGCCGATTTTCGCACGCCCGGGTGCCTGGGTGCCTGGGGGGTGCCCGCGGGTGCCCGCGGGTGCCCGGGTGCCCGGGTGCCCGGGCGTGCCCGGGGGTGCCTGGGGGTGCCCGGGGGTGCCCTATCAATAGCTTTTTAGCCCTACAACTCTATAGCCCCCTAGCCCTATATATAGCCCTGATTGGGGTTTTCTCCGGTATCATTAATGTGTACAGTGCATTGCGCAGTTGGACCCCGTATCTTTCCAACCCCTTCCGCCCAAGACGATATAGCTGTTCCTCTCCGAGGGGGAGAGGGAGTACCCACACCGCGGCTCGTCCTGGAGGGCCCTCGTCGCCGCGGCTGGCTCCCCCCCGCGACGTTGGGCTGGACGCACACCCCCCAGGGGTGGCCCGCGGAGCGGTGGCGTCGGCACCTCGCTGTCCCCCCACCCCCCCAGGGGGCTCCCGCGCGGCCCCCGGCGGCCGGGCTGCTCGAGGCGCCGCGCGCGCCCGCGGCAGCGCGCCCGGCTCGGGGCGCCGAGGGCGCGGGCCGCCCTCCCGGGGAGGGCGGCGAGGGCCTCCGGGAGGCGGGAGCTCCGGGGCAGCGGCCGGGAAGCGGCGCGGGGGCGTCCGGCGGGCCGCCGCCTCCGGCCGCCCGGGTGCCCAAGGTGGCGAGCATGTCGGAGGCCCTCGGCCAGATCGGCTACGCGCTGTGCCAGCTGGCGACCGGGGAGGCGGGCGCCGCGGGCGACCTGGTGACGGCGGTGCTCGGGTCGCCCAGCACGCCGCACGCGCTCGCCGTGGCCAGCAGCGCCATGCGCTCGATGCTGCAGGGCCGCTTCGGCGAGGCCGAGACGCTGCTGGCGCTGGACGAGCTGGTGTTCCTCCCCGGAGCTGGAGACGCGTCAGTGCTGCACGGGTTGGGAGAGCTTGCACGCTGCATTGGCGTTCACGGGGCACCGTTTCTCAACAAAGCCATGTTGCCTGCCCTCGTCAAGGTGGACGACAAGGCTCGGTCGGTCAGGCTCGCAGCAGAATCAGCCACTCGGGAGATCATGAGCTCTAACAGCCGTTTCGCTTTCGAGGCACTTCTGCCTGCGTTGACAGCTGCTCTGGACCTGAAGCGCAGTCCTACGATGAAGCTCCACGCCATGCGCCTCATTGCAGAGTGCTGGCGGGGCCGCGATGGTGAAGCCGCTGTGTCGCACAAGCTTCCCCAGCTACTCCCTGCGGTTGTGGCCCTGCTTGTCGACACCGTCAGCGAAGTCCGAGCTGCCGCGGTTGACACCGTGAAGGTTCAGGAGTGAAAACAGCACAGACAGAATGAACCCTCGATTCCCCCCCAAATATGGGAGAATACGGGAAGCGGGGGTGAAGACGAAAACCCAGAACGTATAGGAAAATATGGGGAATCCTGGGATGTGTGTGTATGTATTTGTGTATTTGTGTGTGTGTGTGTGTGTCCCTGGGGCCCCCTGAAAGGTGCTGTTCAGGCTCTGCCGCAGCCGAGACCTGGAGCCCTTCTACAGCGACATCCTCGCCTGCGCCCAGGGCACCAAGGACGGGGCCCGCGCGGGCAGCCGTGCGGACCCGGCAGCTCCAGCGGGGTCCCGGCGGTTCCGGGGCACCCCGAGCGCGGACTGCCAGGGGGCGTCCCCTGGGCGGCGCACGGGGGCCCGCGCAGCAGTGTTTGGATGGAGTCGGGCATGTCCCTCTGCAGGAGGAATGTCCAAACACAGTCAAACAGTCAGGGGACCATGTTTCGATTGTTGTTTGACTATGTTTGGTTACGCTCCGATTCGTTCTGATTCTTCGTCCAAAATCCGCCTGTAGGGGGACATGCCCGACCGAATGCGCGCCGCTGAGACAGAAAACTAAGAACGTCCTCGCGTGGGGGACTCCAGTAGCAACACCGATTCCCATGATCGCCGTTGCACGTTGCATGATCACTCACGGCACGGCTCCGCACGGCACGGCGAGGAGGGATGAGGAGGGATTGCGAGGAGGCGTGGTGATAATGGCGATGATGACGATGCGTGCTGGCAATTCGGCACGGCGAAGATGACAGGACAAGCAGGAGTAACAGGGGGAGAAGTGCCGGAGTGAAAACGGGTTGAGTTTGCTTGCGTGAAATCCGCCAGGGGATATCGCAGGAGTGGGCGAGGGTAATGGGATGGGGACGGTGAGGGTGATGGAAGAGGGCGAGGGGGATGGGACGGCGACGATTTGCTTGTCGCTGGCTTCCTCGAGCGGGCTCGTCCCGCTAGCTGCCTTGAACTGCGCGCTAAACAGTCTGAAAGAGTGCTGCAGCATGCGGCCCTCCGAGCCGCTGACCGAGAGCCCCTACGGACGTGACAACTCGGACCCCAAAGCATGGAAAGAGCAGAGGGCACAAGGCCGACAGTGTGGCGGCCAAAAGGCCGTCGGCGTGGCAGCAGCGGGCGCGTCATCAGGCAGCGCTCCTCTTGCGCTTGCCCTTCTTGGCCCCCTCCTTGTAGCCGTTTTTGAGTGCGATTTCCTCGACCTGCAGGTACTTGCTCTTGCAAGGCTCCACCTGCGAGAGCAATTTCGGAATCTCCCCAGGGTTGGCCTCCTCGAAGTGCACCCTCTCCTCAAGGATGTTCTTCGTCGACGTCAGCCTCTTGACGAACGTCTCCATGTCCGAGCGGAACTCGTTGTGGCACTGATTTGCGCGAGCCTTCGCCTTTGTTAAGATGAGCTTCGCGTCGAGCAGCTTGTCCTGGAACTCGCGGCGCAGGCTCGGTAGGTTCTCATGCAGCGCAGCTGCCTTCATCGCCAGTGCAGCCTTCTCCTACTCCTTGGCGTCGGCTGGCTCGACCCTCACCTGCGTTGGTATGGCGCCGCTGCTGCTGCTGGCTGTCGCGAGCAGCTCCATGGTGGGGCCCTTCAAGGCGCCTGCAGCCTCGATGTCCTCCTTGGAAGCGTCGCCGCTCGTCTCTTGAACGAACTGCTTCAGCTCCGCCTCGCTCATCCTCTCCCAGTGCACGGGGGCGGCGTCACGACCCTTCTCGTACTGACCTTCTTGATGGGGTCAGCGCAGCGGCCCTGGTGGGTTATGAAATTCATGAGGAAAGCATCGCTGAACCTTTTATCTTTGCTGATGCCGTCGTCTGAGTTCGCGATCAGAAAGGCTTTCAAACCTTGCTTGAGGCTGTTCAGTTTCTTCGTGCCCGCTGCCTGCAGTACCTTGCGAGCTGCATCAATCTCTGCGGCCGTGAGACTGATCTCCGAGATCTTGGCGGGGGGTGTTTGGGCGGCATCTCCTGCGCCAGCGCGGCGACTGGACAACTGATCCCGGAACTTGCTCGAGCCTGACATAGCTACGGAATTAAGTTGGGCCGACCGATTCAGTCATTGCGAGGGGCTGCAATCTGACTTGAAGGGGTAAACGATGATCACCTGAGGGGCTCAGAGCAATTGCCAGCGTCACAACTGCGGGACAGAGCAGCACACAGATCGCACTATCCAGAAGTAGTTTCGGACGCACGCTAGCACGCCAGCCGTTGGCCTCTGTTGACATAGAAAAGATTCAAGGGCGCTGGGGGATCGAAGAGTCATCGAATAATAGATCGAAGATCTTCGCTCTACTCTTCGATCGATGTTTTCATTTATATATATATATATTATTCGATAGATCATTCGATTACTCTTCGATCGCTCTTCACTCTTCAATTACTCTTCGGTCACTCTTCACACTTCCATTACTCACCGATCACTATTCGATAACTCTTCACTCTTCGACCACTTTTCGACCACTCTTCACTCTTCGGTTACTATTCGCTCTTCGAGTATTTCTCGATTGCTCGGCGCTCGTCGCTCGTTCGTTTTCCCCCCCTCTAGGTTACTCTTCACTCTCGGGTTGGTTGCTGGTTTTCAGGTCGTATGCCACAGCCTCAGAGTGGGCCTCGATCACGAGCGATTAGCCTGGACATATCTAATTGGGATTCCCCGACGCACGGCAGACGAGACCACGCCCAGCGCGAGGGTGTCAAGAACGTTGGGCCGCGCTGTTCAAACAGGAACCTCGAGACAGGCAGAGAAGCCGCCATGCCACTGAGGCCAGCGAACCAAGTATCTGAAGACGAGCCTAGTCTGAAGCAGAAGCATTCTCGTCTGCCTCACCCTTTTCGCCGTCACCGTGAGCCTTGAACAAGGATGCCGCCAACGGGCAGTCGTCGCTGTCATCGGTATCTGGCCTCTTGCCGATCGACGCCTGGGCAGGACGCTTGCGTACAGCATATGGGTTTTCAGTACCACGTCCGTGGGTTTGGACTTCTTGTCCTTGGACTTCTTGTCCTTAGATTTCTTGTCCTTGCCCGTCTTGCCCGTGTCCTTATTGGCTTTGTCCTTGTTTTTCCTTGCGCCCACGTCGCGGGGATCCTCTTGCCTCAGTGTCGCCACCGTCAGCAGCCGTCGACGCAGTCTCCTTCTCCTGCTCGAGGCCCCCTGCCCTGGCGCGGACCTGGCCCGAGCTTCGGCGGGGTCGGGGACGGGGGCGGCGACGTTGGAACGATCCGAGGAATGGCCCACGGGGCCCAGGACTTGTTTCCCAGGGAGGAGGAGGAGGAGAGGAGGAGAAGGAGGAGGAGGAGGACGAGGACGAGGACGAGGAGGAGGAGGAGGACGAGGACGAGGAGGAGGAGGAGGAGAAGGAATGGGAGGAGGAGGAGGAGGAAGAGGAAGAGGAGGGAGGAGGAGGAGGAGGAAGAGGAGGAGGGAGGAGGAGGAGGAAGTGGGCGGGTACTTGCACGGAAGGCCGAAAAGGGTAAGCGACGTGCAAGGGTCTTTGAAGACCAAGGCCCGCGTCGCCAAATAATCACAAGTTGAATGCAGCGTGGCGGCGGCAGCAGGCAGAATAGATGGACCCCAGGGCAGGTGGTGGCGAGGCCAGCGCGCGTTTGTTGAGGGGCCGAGCCGACGTGCCATTTTGGTGAGCACGATTTGTTTTTAGCGTTGTGTGTGCTTGTTGTGTTTGCTTTAGGGGGTGTGTTCCATTTTGCCATATGCTTTGTGTGGGCCCCCCTGATGAGGCCATGCCGTACTTGCTCTTTGCGCGCAGCCGAAAGGAAGGACGTGGAGGGCACGGTCTGCTGTGAAAACTCTAGTTGTTTGCTAGCTTTGCTGGCGAATCACGGCCCATGGCGACGAGGAGGAGGGGGCGGGCACTTGCAGAAAAGTTGGAAGCCAAGGAGGAGGTGGGAAAGGACACCTCGCATGGTGATGGTGATGGCGATGACGATGCGAGGCGGCTGCTGTGATCTGAACTGCACAACCTCGCGCCCAGGCGCTCCCCGCGCCACCTGGGCAAGACAGGGCATGCGACAAGCTGCGACCGCCTAGGCGTCGCGGCCAGACCAAAGCTGGCTCCAGCGGTCGGCCTGCGCACAGGCGTACGTCTGCGCCTTCCTGCTGGCCTCCTCCCTGGAGACTCCCGGGGCGAGATGCTAATTCTTCTCCAACGTGCACGCGCGGCTATGCACCGTCTTGCGGATGACCGACCTATTGCCGTCCACATTCAAGTACGGCTCAAAGGGGTCTACATCATGAACAGCACTGCCCGTGGCCATCATTCCCTCGGTGCCCTCCTCTTTCTTCTTCTTCCCGCCCGAAGTCGGCACTGGAGCCAGCACTTTCTTCTTGGGCGTCTTCTTCTTATTATTCTTCTTGGCGTCGCCGCGGGTGACCGCGAGGTAGTCTCCTGGGGACGGGCCTGCAACTGCACCTTGGGCTAGCTCCGCAAGCTGAGCAGCACTGAGGGGGCCCTTGGCCGAGGACGAGCTGTCGGTCTTGAAGATGTTTTTCTCAAGCTTCTCGAAATCTGATTCACTCGATTCGGTGATCTCCACGACATCCACGGGCTTCTTCACAATCGGCACCTCCCAAACCACATCTTGTTTGAAGGTGAGGCGTTTGGATGGGAGATCGACGCCACGCTGCTGCGCGCACTCGCCCTCCGAACGTGGACGCTTAGGCAAGAGAAGCAACATTCCCATCCGCACGGCCAGCTGCGGACAGTTCCTTGGAGCACTGTGTTCGCGACGTTTCCGATCCAACTACGACTGGAGCATGGTCCTGAACCTCATTGCACAAGCTTCGATCTCATTTGGCTGCCAGCTGAACCCACCTTCGCGGAGCCACGACCCGAGCTGGCGATTGAACGACAATTGATGCGGGATGAGGCCGCCAGACATCTCGAGGCACGACTGGAGTTCGCTGAAAGCTTTTTTCATTGCACACCAATCGCTCGTGAGGTCGTTCGAAGTGACTCTCTGCAAACTCCGCAAACTGGTCGGCGAACAGCGCTCTAGCAACTTCGTCGGGCAAGTCGCAGCCAGGCGTCCTAGTTTGCGCCATTGAGCCCCAAACAGGCTATGTCATTGACGATGGCGCTGGGGGATCACAGGGAACCCAGTTGGGCAATGTGGGGCTAGGGGGGGGGGAATGCGAGGATGGGGATAAGGACGCAGGCCCCATGCAGATTGCGCTCTCCATAAAAGCAAAGGATTGACGAGGATGAGTGGGGCGATGCCTGGAAGGACAGCGGACGAGGTGAGAATGCATAGAGGACAGCGTGACGGGTGCTGAGCGCATTCTCTGGGGCCTCTGGTGGCATTCTTTGGGGCCTCTGGTGGAGCTGGTCGCATGGAAACGACCTAGTTGTTTTGTTTGTTTGGGGAACCTGTTGTTTTTTATTAGATGTGGTTTCTGAGGTGTGGAGGTGTCCCACAATTTTCGTAGATGCGGATGCGTGCGTCGCTGCGCATCCCAAGAGTACTGGACTGCCTTTTGTGGCCCGAGTCTTGGCTCAGCGCCATGAGCTGCTAGACTGCAGCACCGCAAGAATGACCAAAAGAAGCCTCTGCGTTGAGGCCACGCCTAGCTCTCCTGGTCCTGCCTGGACTCTGCCAACTGGCGCTGGAGATCCTCGATCTTCAACCACGGCGCCCTGTTCTGCTCTGGGACTGGCAGGGCTGCTGCCGCCGGAAGCGGGATGCACCCCCTTCGACGGGTCCTGCTGCTTCCAGCCGTAGTGCACCCAGCTGCTCGGATCGGATGCCTTCCACGGGACCTGGTAGGGGGCGCCGCGCTTCTCGATGATGAGAGCGTCCTCGCCCGCGTGCGTATGCTTCACGATGACGGCCTGCTCGTCACTCTGGGCCTCGTCGTAGTTCTTGTCCGTTGTCAGCTCGATGACCTCGCTGGCTTTGACACTGATCGCGCCATGCTGCTTGCTGAGCTCGAAGATCATGTCGCTGATGGACTTGATCTGATCGCCGATCTGATACTCGTACTCTGCCTTGGCCATCTTCTCCTTTTCGGTGCTCGTCTCGCCAGCTTCGTGCGGACAAGGCTGAGCTGGAGCATGCGCTTCTGGTCCTGCAGCGTGGCGATTTGGAGGGAGATGCCGAACGCGACACCCTTCAGCACGTGGCTCGTGGCTCTGGAGATTCACCTCCGCCCTGCGCAGCACGTGATCGAGGTCGCCGATCACGCTGCAGGAAACCTCATCGCGGAGAAAATTGGGCGGCCGCCGACATCGTCTGCAGGGCTCTTTGAAAGAGAAAACAAACTGGAGCGGACACCCGCTCGTATATGAAGGTGCTTGATCCAGCACAGCTGCTGTTGATATGGGCATGTGGTGAAAAGCTGGAGTAGTTGGGGCTCTCGTGGGATACCCAAACACCCTAGATACCCCAAGCAATGCACAAGATGGCCAAGATACCCAAGATATCCTAGGCCCCAAGAGACTCAATATAGCCAAGATCCGCTCGGACCCGTAGTCTGGATCCCACGTGGCGTTTTAAAGGGAAACCTTATCTCTTACTGATTTTCTTTAGTTTGAAGGATTTATGTGTTTTACTGGGGGAATGTGAAGGCATCCGTTCGATTCTGAGGTTCTTCATCAAAAAGCAGCCGTAAGTTCGTGAAATACCGCAAGATAATGAAGACACCGCAAGAAAATGAAGATGTTGATGGTTTGGGCCTTCAGATCGCTCCAAGACGGCCGAAGAGGCTCCCAAGAAAGCCCAGAGACGCCCCAGGAGGTTCCCCAGATATGTCAAGAGGGCCTCGAGAGCTCCCCAAGAGAGCCCCAAGAGCGACCCAAAGGGCCCGAAGAGCGCGACATTTCAAGGTCTCCGGCCTGAGAGGCTCCTAGGACAGGCCATCAAAAGGCTCCCAAGGAGCCGAGGCTCCAAAGAGGCCCCCCGGAAGCCCCAATAGGCCCCCAAGGGGGCCCCAGGGAAGCCCCCTGCGGGCCCCCAAGACACTTCGGTAAATCGTATTTCCCAGGTAGCTTTCCGGGAAAATGATTCCTTGGGCTTCCGCCCACCGCCCCAACCATGTTTCCAATAGGCTTGCCGACAAGGCCAAAAGGCGCCCCTCGGTACCGTAAGCCCCCAGAGGCCCCCCTCTTCGAGAGCCGAGCAAATCATGCTCCCGGAAAGCTTCCCGGGAACATGATTCTCTATCTCGGAGTAGGCCCGGGGGAAGGGGGCGGGCCGCTGCCTGTTCCCCCCATCGGTGCCCACCAAGGGTTGCGGGGGGGGGGGGGTCCAGGGCTCCCGAGGCGGCCCGAGCCCGCCCCGAAGCAGGCCACGACAGGCGAAGGGGGTCCCGAGAGGGCCCAAGACGGTCCCACGAGGCCCCGAAGACGCCCAAGCTGCCCTCAAGACGGCCGACGAGGACTCCAACACGCTCCAGGACGGACTCAAGAGGCTCCCCAAGAGGGCCCTCGAAAGCAAGATTCACTCGTTTTCCGAGTGCTTTGGACTTTGGCGTTCTCGCTTTTCCCGCTTTCCAGCGCTCCCTTCACGGCCTCGGAGACCCTTCAGATCGCTCCAAGAAGGCCCACGAGGCCCCGACGAGGGCCCCAAGACGGCCCAGGATGCTCCCCAGACAACCCAAGTGTGCCCCAAGAGCTCCCCAAGAGAGGGCCCAGAGGGGTCCCGAGGCGGCCCAGGCCCGCCCCGAAGCAGGCCACGAAAGGCTAATGGAGGTCCCGAGAGGGCTCAAGACGGTCCCAAGAGGCTCCGAAGACGCCCAAGCTGCCCTCAAGACGGCCGACGAGGACTCCAACACGCTCCAGGACGGACTCAAGAGGCTCCCCAAGAGGGCCCTGGGGGGCAAGATTCACTAATTTTCCTATGGTTTTTGAAGGATTTTGGCGTTCTCGCTTTCCCCGCTTCCCAGCGCTCCCTCAAGGCCTCGCTCGGAGGCCCTTCAGATCGCTCCAAGACGGGCCACGAGGCCCCGAAGAGGGCACCAAGACGGCCCAGGAGGCTCCCCAGACAACCCAATTGTGCCCCAAGAGCTCCCCAAGAGAGGGCCCAGAGGGGGACCGCCAACCGATATTTCGAGGTCGCCGGCCCTAGAGGCCGCCTGTAGGCCCCCGGAGGCCACCAAGAGGCTCCCACGAAGCCCCGTGAGGCGCCCAGGGGGCCCCCAGAAAGTCCCAAGAGACCCCCAAGGGGCTCCCAGGGAACGCCCAAGAGGCCCCCCAACACACCCCAAGAAATCATGTCCCCAGGAAACCTTCCGGGGACATGGTTCATCATGGGCCGAGAGTTCCCGGAGGCCCCCAAGGGGCCCCTGGGAACGCCCAAGAGACCCCCCAACACACCCCAACAAACCATGTCCCCAGAAAGCCTTCCGAGGACATGGTTCATCATGGGCCCGCGAGTCTCGGGAGGCTTCAAAGTACCATCATCCTTCAGGAGAGCTGTCTGGGAAGTTGATTGGGAACATGACTGATCGCCTTCTCGCGGCCCTCCGAAGATCGTTTCGCACAAAGTTGCCCCAAGTGCCCTCTTGAACCGACGACGACGACGAAACGACGAAGACGACGACGACGACGACGACGACGACGACGACGACGACGACGACGACGACGACGACGACGACGACGACGACGACGACGACGGCGCGCCCCAATAGGCGAAGACGACATTACGACGACGAGGACGACGACGACGACGACGACGACGACGACGACGACGGCGACGACGACGACGACGACGACGACGACGACGACGACGACGACGACGACGACGATGACGGCGCGCCCCAAAAGGCTCCCCAAGACGCCCCCAAACCCATGCTCCCAGAAGGCTTTCTGGGAACCCGATTCATACGGCCTCCGCCCCCCTAGACAACCATTTTCCTCGAAGGCCTTTCGGAATGCAGATTGGCATGCCTGTGCTGTGGTCCACTACTTCAGTGGAGCAGTGAATTCGTCAAGGCCTGGGGGGCCTGCTAGAACCATCGCGCGCGCGAAGCGCGCGCGATGGTTCTAGCATATATCTATATATATATATATATGTATGCATGAGAAGTCGAAGGGGGGGGGCTCGGAGCACAGGAGACAAGCGGCAGAGCCAGGCAGGCGCATCGGCCGGGCGGACCCCCGCGGGCGGGCCGCGAAAACGCCCGGGAGGGCATCCGGCCACGCGGACGGGCGGGCCCTGGCGGGCGGGCCGCGCGGGCCAGCCCCAGCGGGCGCGCAAGGCGGGCGGGCCGTCGTTGGGGCGGGCGTCCTCCTCCGCCTCCTCCTCCTCCTCCTCCTGTTCCCCAGCGTACTGGCCCTCCTCCTCCTCCTGTTCCTCCTCCTTCTTCTCCTGGCAGGGGCGAGCGGGCGGGCCCGAACTGGCGGGGCACTGGCGCGAATGGTCTGCAAGGTTCGCAGGCAGCCGCAGGCGAGAGCACCGTCCCCGAGCAGACTGCCAGGAGGTCGTCGCGTGAAAGAGCGCGGCTCATGGGCGTCGAGGGCGCGGCGCGCAACTGGAGTGCAAGGGCTGCCCGAGCGAGCGCGGTTCCTGCGCAGATTGTGAGGGAGTCCCGCGCGAGAGTGCGAGTGTGAATACACCGTGAGTCGTCAGACCCCGTGTCCCAACCACGCACCCGATGACATGCCACTTTCTGTTCGAGAAAATGCCCCTCAAAAAGGACGTGTCGGCATGCGTGAGGGAGCTGGCAGAGGTCGTGTTCGTGCAGCAGGTCGAGGCATCCGCGCTTGCCGTGGTGCTCCCTGTGCTCATCAAGGCACTGCGCACCCGTAACCTGCGGACGCAGCGCCAGGCTTCCGGGCAGAGCCAAGGGTGGTCACCACTAGGGGAGTCGCCGATTCCTCCCGGAGATCGCGGTTCCCGGAACGAAGCTCGAGAACGTTTGTGTTGGACGTCTGGGGTCGTTTTGAGGGGCTGCGGAGTGCTCCACGGGGCCCACTTGCTCGAGGAAGCGGCGCCCCCCCAGGCCTGCATCATCGCCAAGAACATGTGCGGCCTCGTCTCCGCCGTGGCCGACGTGACGCCCTTCACCCCGCAGCTGCTCCCCCAGCTGGAGCGCATCAGCGAGGACGCCTCGGACCCGGACGTGCGCGCGGTGGCGGGCAGAGCGTGCGCCTCGCTGGCGGAGGCCGCGGACCTCGACATCGTGGGCTCCGTGCGCCAGGATGGGCACGGAGAGGCAGCTGCGCACTCCCCGAGCAGCGCTTGCGCTGGAGGGGCCCCAGCGGAAATGGAAGGATCTGGCGACAGTGTCCCGCCGAGGTTGGTGGCCGGCTGGGTTCCCGGGCTCCCGGGTTCCTGGTTCTTTTGGTTCTGGGCCGAGTTCGGTGGGTTCCGGGTTCCCGGGTTCCCGGTCGATCTCCTGATCGATCAAACCATCCTTTGATTGGGGCTTCTCTCTGGTGTAGTATAAATGTTAGCAAACTGCAGACGCCAACCAGTAAGGGATTGCACCGTGGATGTGCACGGTCGGGAACTTTCAGAGAGCGTGCCGCACCGCCGGGTCTGGCCCACCGCGCCTCAGCGCGACACACGTCCAGTTCCCGATCCCCCCAGCGTTGACGTTCCGACCGTGGCTTTGGCTTAGCGCGGCCGAGGTCAGGAATTTTTGCTTAGCGTGTCGCGCCGCAGGTTCTGGCCCACCACGCTGCGGCTTGACACGCTATCCACGTCGAGCTTCCCAAGCGTCAATGTCCCGAGCCATTCCCGAGCCTCCCATCCCGCGGAGCGGAGCGACACGCTATCGCTCGCAGGGCATTGCGTGTCGTGGGGCCGCCGTGGCGACACGCTAAGCAAAAGTTCCAGACCGCAAGCTATGTTGTGCAAGCTGCGTGGTGCAAGCCAGAAGCGGCAACTGGCGGCAACGCGGCGAAGACTCGTCGGGCCCACCCAGCGCACGAGGCGGCCACGAGGCGGCCACGGGCGAAAACGTGGCGGCACCTCGCAGGACCCGCCCAAATCCTCAGCAAGACAGGTAAAAGTGCAGGTACTGTTCAGGGAGCCTTCGAAGCTCCGCGCTGGGCACCCGTCGCTGGCGCGCGGAGCGCCCCAGGGGCGGCGCCGAACGTGTCGCCAGCCCAGGGGGGCGCGGCGCCGATCCAAGAAATCCGCGCGGAGCCCTTAAAGCTTCTGTGTGCGTTTGTTGGGAGCGTGTTTCTTGATTGCTTGGGGCATAAATGGACATTGTGGCCCCTGGCCCTCCCCCCCCCATAACGTAACGCCCCTCCACCCCCAGTGCGCTCCAGGCATTGCCGCCATGCGCACGGCGTGGGGGAGGCGTTACATTATGCCCCCCCCTGGCCCCTCCCCCCCTCCCCCCACAATACTTATTATCACCGAACATAGAGAAGCGCGCTCTTGCTTCTTCGGCAGGAGCTGCGCGCGGTCCTCCACAGCGCATTCGACGACGCTGAGTCGAGGCAGGGCTCGCGGGGCGACGTTCTGGCGCCATGCCCTGCGCCCGTTCGCGCTGTCATTCTGGAGTACGTTGTGACGCTGAGCGTCTGCCTCGGGCACGCCTGCCTGCCGAAGAAGGTCGTTGCGTGATAGCCGACCCCTGCTCAAACCTCCGGGTCGGTTTTCTTGGTCGCCGCGGCGATCGCGGCGGCCACAAAGCGGGGCAAGGTTTTTTGCCAAGCAGCGGCATGCTCCTTCCCAGCCCCACACCCCCCCGCTCTGGGATGTAGACGTGGTCCGGATTTGAGTATATAGCGACTTAGGTTTGTCGAGATATGTCCAACAGAGGCAGTGCTGTTGTGTGGGGGGGCGAGGGGGCGACTAACACGAACAGAAGGAGGTCTGGGCGCAACAGCTGGTGCCCCTGCTGGAGCCGCTGCTGGGCGTGGGCGGCGCGAGGCAGATGGTCAATCAGGTCCGCGAGGTTGGCGGCAGGCTCCTCGGAGGCAGGGCAAACATTGCCATGGCATTTTGACTGTCGGAGCTCTGCGCCCGAGGTCCCCACAGCTGCAGGAGCATGAACCGTCGGAGCTCCGCTCGGGTCTTCGTTGCTGGACTCCCCTCGGCTCAGCGGGCGCCGCCAGGGGAGCGGGTCCAGCGCCGATCCGAGAAATCCACTGGCTCCGGAAGTTCATGTATTTGTGCTCTTGTCTTCTCCTCTTTCATCCCTCCTCGGAAGCAAACGCAAGTTCTTCCCACAACACGGCGACGCCTCCGGATCCCCAATTTCAATGTTGACGCCGGCGCTGGCGACTGCAATTTCTTGCTTGACCCCGCGGACCGCGCTGCGCGCGTCCATCAACACTGGAATTCGAGGGCAAGGGGGTCGGATCAGAACCTGCGTTTGATTCCGAGGAGGGGTATAGGAACCGTCAAGCAGTGGCGAAGCGTCTAGGCGTGCCTATAGGCCGACAAACAATGTTCTAATAACCTTTTGTGGTGTCCACGAAATGTTCTTAGAACATTTCTGGCTGGGACTGTCTTCTTTTAGCACATCGGGTCTGTGTTATAAGAGCCTTGTTCTTGTTCGTAGAACATGTTTGGGTTCTATGAGAATTTCGTGGTAGGCCCATAGGAATGCCAGAACGGTCGGTCCCTGCTCAAAACCGAGCAGTTCTCGAGCCCCACACTGAACGTTGCACCATATGGCCGGTGCCTGCCGTCCTGACCCGGGCACACCCGCGAGCACACCGGCTCCCGGTGCCCGCGGCCGCTTGCGCGTTCCCGTCCTCCGTCGACTCGGCGGCTCGGGGACGAGGGACGAGGGAGGAGCAGGAGGAGGAGGAGGAGGAGGAGGAGGAGGGAGAAGGGAGGAGGAGGAGGAGGAGGAGGAGGAGGAGGGAGGAGGAGAGAAGGAAATGAGGAGGAGGAGGAGGAGGGAGGAGGAGGAGGAGGAGGGGGAGGAGGAGGGGGGGGAGGAGGTGGAGGAGGAGGAGGAGGAGGAGAGGAGGCGGAGGAGGAGGAGGAGGAGGAGGAGGAGCAGGAGCAGGAGCAGGAGCAGGAGGAGGAGAAGGAGGAGGAGGAGGAGGAGGAGGAGGAGGAGGAGGAAGGGAGGAGGAAGGGAGGAGGAGGAGGAGGAGGAGGAGGCGGAGGCTCCCGGTTCCCGCGGCTGCCTGCGCGTTCCCGTCCTCCGTCGCCTCGGCCGCCTGCGGGCCTCCGTCGCCTGCGGGCCGCCTGCGGGCCGCCTGCGGGCCGCCGCTGTCCTCCTCCCGTCTCTGCGCCCCGTGGCCCGACGCGGCCCGCCAGCTCCGCGCAGAGGCGCCCGCTGTTGCCGGCGCTGCCGAGGAGCCACGGCACCCACACCTCTGACGCTGCGAGCTCTGACGAGGTTCGGCAGCTTGCCTGAGAAGAAGGTACCCCATGCCGCTGCCCTTGCCTCGTGCTCCCGCTTTCGGGCCTCCTGTGAGGCCCTCGTCGCCGCCGCTGGATTCGCCTCGAGATCCGGGTCAGAACGCACCCCGGGAGAGGTCCGGGGAGCAGCGGTATCGGTACCTCGCGGCATTCCCAAAGCAGTTCTTTCAGTTTGGCATCGTTCGGACGCGTGCACGTTTTCTCGGCGAAGACCATCGAGGAGCATCCTGGGCCATCTTTGTCCTCTGATGGAGTGGACGTCCGAGCAGGCTCTCCAGCATGATCGGCGAGCGCTCCAGCGAGCCCGCGGCGTCGACGCCCAGCGGAGCGGGGCAGACTGCGGGCCTGCTGTGCGACTGCACCTTCACGCTCGCCTGTGGCGCGGCCACGCTGCTCGTGGGCGCCAACCTGCGCCTGGAACGCGGCCGCATCTACGGGTTCGTCGGGGGCAACGACAGCGGCAAGCTTAGCTGCCCTGATACGCACGTGCTGAAGCGCAGCTAACGTACCGTGTCCAACACGTCTCACGCACGTGTTGGCCCACGTCGTGGCGAACGAGCCGCGCCAGGCCTAATTACGTTTCCAGGCGTGGTGAGCTCCGTGTCAGCACGCTACGGGTTGCGCGTCGCGTACTTATCGGGGCAGCTGAGGCGGCAAGAGCACCATCCTGCGCGCGATCCACGAGCGGCGCCTGAGGACAAGCAAACCACGGCACGAGCGCCGACCTTCGGAGTTCCGTGCGGGTCTCTTGGTGTTCGGTGCCGGGCCCCCCCCCGGCGATGCCTCCGGCTCCCGCCATCAGCGCCAGCCTCCCGGCGCGCTCCGCGCGCCAGCGAGGGGGCCCCGGCTCGAATGTGACTGCTCGGGGATGCGTTCGCACGCGGCGGCAACGAGGACAAGTCCGTTCCAGAGCGCTTCGGGGCGCTCCCACGGCGTGCCAGAACGCTCCGGGGAAGCCGCGGTGCCCGAGACATCCTCAGAGCCACGAGGATCTCAGAGATTCCTGCTTCTCAAGCAGTGGCGAAGCGTCTTGGCTCGCCTATAGGCCTACCAAGCAATGTTCTAAGAACCTTTTGTGGTTTGCACCTAATGTTCTCAGAACATTTCTTGCTGGGACTTTCTAGCTTTTAACACATCGGGTTTTTTGTCGTAAGAGCATTGCTGTTGTTCTTCGAACATTTTGGGAGCATCTTGGGGTTCTGAGAACATGTCGTGGTAGGAATGCCAGAGTGGTCGGTCCCTGCTCAAGTCCCGACGGTCCCGACCGGTTTTTCGTCCGGAGTCGTTTCCTGACGGTCCCGAGGCCCGGCGAGGGCCCCCCGGGGCCGAAAAGAGCAACCGACTTCCCGTCCCGACTCTTGTCGCGACCCGATCCTGTCTGTCACCACCCACCAAACCACCCCAACCCAACCCGAAGGCTCAGGTTTACCCTCGATTTCCAGTGGGGGGGGGTCGGGAAACATGGACAAAAACACGTGTGGAACCCTTACCCCCCCCTAACCCGAAATTCGGGTCTTCGGGTTGGGTTGGGGTGGTCTGGTAGGTAGTCAGTCTGGGGAGGTTCCTGCTTCCTCGTCGCTCCACCTGACCGTCGCCTCCTCGTGCGCCGGGTGCGCCGCGGGGGAGAGGGCGGGAGGGCGGGCGGCACCCGCAGCAGCGGGGGCCCCGCGGGCGGCCGGAGGGCCGCGGCCTTCTGTGTTGATGCAGTCGGGGCCCTGAAGAAGGAACCCTTTTCGTTGGGGAGGGGCTCCGCGTTCCTTAAGTGTTTCGCAGCCTGCCTCAGGTTTTCCTTGTGTTTTCGATAGGAAATCGAAATGTAACTTGTGGAGAATAGGGGCCTCGTTCCTCATTCAGGGTTCCTTGGGTCAGGGCCCCGACTGTACCCCGCTGGCCGGAGCCCCGGGGAAGCCGTTCTCAACCAGCGGAGGTGGACAGACCTCCTGCCCTGACACGTCGGGGGCGGCAAAGAGGGGGGTGATGACTAGGGGGGGGTGGATCTCATGGCGTGGGCCATGGTATTTCCCCAGATTTCATGGCGCCCTTTCTTATTTCATTACGTCCCTGGCCCCCCTCCTTGGCCGCGCACATGCCGCCGGCCATGATTTGCACCACCCCCTCTTGGACGCCTCCCTCTTGGCCGCTCCCGAGACACGTCGATTAGCGAATTGGCCGTTTTCGGTTCGCGAGAGGGCGTCGTGGCCGTCACTTTCGTGGGTCCAGGCCTGTCGGTTTTTCGGTCCCAGGCCGTCTTCTTCGAGGGGAGGTTTACGAAAGGGAGGTATGTCCACCGCCGAAACCAGCATGCCGATCCTGAGTATCGTTTCGGATGCAACTCCTGGGAGGTCAAATTCTGTTTTCGCCCTGGTCCGAAGTCCGGCTTCATCCAGCCTAATCCCGCTTACTCCGGCTTCTTCCCACTCAATCCCGCTGAATCCGGCTTGACCCTGCTTGGTCAGAGGCCTTTTCGGGCGTAACAGCTCCCAAATGAGGCTTCATCCTCCGTAATCTTTCCGACGAAAACCTCCCACTGGTTGCCTCCTAATATCGGTTGGCCGACCTCCATCCCCATCCCCGTCCCCTTCGAGACCCCCACCAAATTACCCCCCAGTTGGGGATACACCCCCTGACACCCGAAGGGGACGGCCTATACCCCCATCTAAGGGGGTAAATCGGCCAGTGGGGCCCAGGCCACGCCGCTGGGGATGGGGATCGGTTAAACGATACTCAGATCCAACGGACCCGCGTGGATGTCCGAAGGTTTCCGTTTGTCCCGATGCGTTCTCCTTCTACAGTCGGGCCGAGGTATGAGGTCGAGGTCGGTGCGGAGAGGGTGCCCCAGTGTTCTCTGTGTCTGTTGGATGCTCTGGCGCATCCTGGGGAGGGTACCCTCAGATTTTCTGTGTGTCTTGGCCGGCGCCCGGCAGGGATTTTCATGTTCTGAGAGGATGTTGTTCTGTCCTAGGTCCGACTGTGCAGGCGCGTGAGCGACTTCCCGCCAATGGAGGAGGTGGTCACCACGCTCGTGGAGCACGGGGTCGGCGAGAAACACCCAGAGTGCGAGATGACGCCGGTGCAGTATCGAAGACGCCTGCGGCGAGTCGCCGCGCCCTCTGCCTTTTGGAGTCGCCCATGTGGCCGAGCGTTGTGGCAAGAGCTCTGCCCAGCTATCCGACCATGTGTTCCCCCAGCCGTTGTGGAAACCCTTCGGGGAACACTTGGGGGAGGACGGCGGAGGAGGAGGAGGAGGAGGAGGAGGAGGAGGAGGAGCAGGAGGAAGACGAGCGGGAGGGGGCATCTCGGGAGCCTCTGGAGGCACTCTTGGGGTTTTAGCGGCCTCTTGGAGGCCACTGGGGCCCTCTTGGGCCATCTTGGGCTGTCTTGGGCTGTCTTGGTGGCTTCTTGGGCGGACTCGGAGAAATATTGGACCTTCTCGGGTCGTCTTGGACGCCATCTTGGACCATCTTGGGCGAACTCGAAGGCCATTTGGGGCCATCTTGGCAGTCTCTTGGCCGTCTCGGACGCCATCCACGGCCCGAAAACCCACGACCTGTACATCTGCGGCGGCTTTCTGGGTGGCCGGCTCGCTGGGCCGAAGCCCCAGAGGGGTTTCGCCTGGCAAAGAACCAAAACCAAAAGCCGTAGGGTTCAGCACTCAACAGGGGGCGGCGGATCTAGTGGCCTTCGGCCCATCCCGCCACCGTGCGTGGGTTCTTGGCCCGTCTTGAGGCCGTCTTGCCTTTGATTAACGCAAGCGCCAAGCCGCGCTAAAACGCGCTGAGACGCGCCAAACCCAAGGAGATTTGGCCCTTAAAGACTCTTCAGGAGTGAGGACTGAGGCTCCGGGGATTGGGCAGACGAGCTGCGGACACGGACACGCCCACTCCGTGCTCAGCGGCACGGTGGCGGACCTCCTGGCGGATGAGATGATACGGTCCTTGAAGCTGTCCGAGTACGAAGTATGAGGGGGAGCACAAACGCGTGAGCATCAAGCGTCGGAGGTCTGCGCGGATCTCGCGGATCTGCGTTGCCCCCCCGTGGTGGCGCCTCCGGCCCCGCCCCCCTCGCGCGCTCCGCGCGGATCCGGGACAGCCGCGCGGAGCTCCGAGAGTTTGGGTGTATGCCCTTCGGTTACCAGCCTGCAGCATATCCCTATCCCTATGCAGGGCATCTCCTCATCACGATGCCAATCCTAGGGATTCCCTGATTTTTTGAGGGCGCATGCCTAAGATTGTCATCGCCTTTTGGCGTGTCAATCTTGGGGATAGGGGTAAGTTCGAGGCTGGTAATCTGGCCGGTGTCTCCAGAGGTGGCCCGTGCGCTGGGAGAGTGGGGCTTCCAGCGCGAGGGGCGCCTGCGGAGGCCCATCCGGACACTGAGCGGGGGCTGGCGGATGAAGCTCGGCCTCGCCCGCGCGATGCTCCAGAGCGCAGATCTGCTGCTCCTGGACGAGCCCACTGGCCACCTCGACGTGGAGCACATCGCCTGGCTCGCAGAGTACGTGCAGGGCCTGCGGGCGGATCGCTCCCCGGCGGTTTCCACACTGATCGTCTCTCACGACTCCAGCTTTCTGGATCGGGTCTGCACGGACATCATTCACGTGGACGGGAACAGACTGCATGCACATGCCGGTGATTTCTCTAGCTTCCTGGCGAAGGTGCCCGATGCACGCCTGGGCACAGGGTCCGCTGGCGAGCCAGAGAAGGTGTTAGCCGCTTTCACGCTGCCTGAGCCAGGACATTCGGCATTTGCAAATGGCCAGGGGTGCACTCGTGATGCGGTGAGACCTGAGGATCCCACAGGAGTTATTGTCTTGTCCAGCTGTGTTTTAGAGCTCTGGACCCTCTGTTTCTCGTGCTGGCGGTGGCTGTCGTTCGTCTCCTCTTGCCTGCTCCACCGCTGGCTGTGGCCCCCTCCAACCCTTGCCACCTGAGCGAGCGAGAGCCAAGGAACGCGTGCCGCTTGGCTCTCCAGCCTCCTTCCCTTGGAGCCCTCCATCGAGGGACTGAAAACCACCCGGACCCGATAATTGGCGATCACTAACGGCCCTGGGCGTTTACGAAACAGCCATGCCCTGTTTGATTCCCTCTTTGGCTGCTTTTACTAAACGGCTTCGCGTGTCGTGGTGGTATATTATGCGGGTGGATCTGCTGCACTCCGCTCCAGGACCGCTGGAGGGCGTCCGCTCTCGGGGGCGGCGCTTCCTGAGCCTGGACCACGTGTTCTTCAGCTACGAGGCGGGCGGCCTCCCCGTGGTTCGGGGCGCCAGCGTGGAGTGCTGCCTCCGGAGCCGCGCACGGCGCGCTCCTCCTCCTCCTCCCCCCCCTCCTCCTCCTCCGCCTCCTCCTCCGCCTCCTTCTCCTCCTCCTCCGCCTCCTCCTCCTCCTCCTCCTCCTCCTCCTCCTCCTCCTCCTCCTCCTCCTCCTCCCTCCTCCTCCTCCTCCCTCCTCCTCATCCTCCTCCTCCCTCCTCCTCCTCCTCCTCCTCCTCCTCCTCCTCCTCCTCCTCCAGCGAGGAGCCGCGTGGCCATCATGGGGCCGAACGGCGCAGGGAAGTCCACGCTGGCGGGCCTGGTCGTGGGAGAGCTGGCGCCGGACGGCGGCTCTGCGTGGCGCCACCCGGCTCTCCGTACGGCCTTCGTCGCCCAGCACGCTTTCCACCACCTCGAGTCGCGCATGGACCTCACCGCCACGCAGTACATCCTGTGGCGCTTCGAGGGCAACGAGGACCGCGAGGCCATGGAGATGAGGGCCGACGACGTCGAGACGGCGGACCCCAGGCCCCACAGGCTCCACGGGTCGCACCTGGTGGCGTGCGCGCCGGACCAGGAGGAGGACGCGGTGCGCCCCGACGTGGTACTGGACAGGCGCCAGCGCGGCCGCCTCGGATACGAGTACGAGGTGCGGCTCCAGGGGCACCAGGACACCGTGTGGGTGCCGCGGGCGCAGATGGCCGCCATGGGCTGCCTGGGCATGGCGGCGCGCGAGGACGAGCGGCAGGCGGCGCAGCGCTCCCTCGAGGGGCGCCCGCTCACCACGCCCGGCGTGGAGGCGCACCTGGCGGGCTTCGGCCTCGGGGCGGAGGACCGCCAGCCGGAAGCGTATGCCTGCCCCCACGACCAGCATCGCATTGCTTGGTGTCGACTTC